CAAACTCCAGGCAAGATTCTTATTCATTAAGAGCAAGTGTTTAAACAACATGGTAAAAATATATAATGTTGACTTATTTAACACCTCTAGCAGGCAATTTAAATCTACTGAATAGTAAGTGTTTTGTTGATCGATGTGTACCACATATACCTATGTTATTATTATTACTCAAGAAATTTCCATCATTCCTCAAAGAATTTGTTTATTGTGTAATTGTTTTTGTCTACCTTTCATGTGAAAATTTTTCTTTGTACTTTTTTATTTGTTCATAAATTTGTATCTAGTTGAAGTTTTGCTAAAATCGAAAAATAATTAAATAAAATAAATAAATACAGTTCAGCTGATGGTAAATGGTTCCTTCAATCTATGGACACCTGCAGCCAACTTCATACACAAAAGACTACAGATGCGGTAGATTAGATTTACGTGGTAGAGCCATGTTGCAACTATATTAATAGTATAGTTGTAGCTCAAATGGGTCGGCTCGAAAGGGATAGTACCAGGCTCTCACAGAATACCAGTGTAAAATAGCAGCTTAACCCTTCTGTGTTTTGTATGGTAAGTTTAGAGAACCGGAGACCATTTTTACTGGAAACGAGATGTTACATCTTAGTCCTCACGGGTGACAACGCATCAGCATTTTGATTCGTAATCGAGAAAAGATTAGATGTCTATGGGCCGCAGAAATCACTTACCATCAGGTGGACTGTGTGCTCGTTTGTCACCCTATTCCTATAAAAAAAAGTTTCTTTACACTACTTCGTATGAAACACATTACCATTAACCCTTTTGCTGTCATTGCTATTGTGTTACTGTTGTGTCTCAAAACCGTCAGTGAAAGTGTTAAGCTGCTATATTACGCTGGTATTAGTTAGCGTGGTTCTTCCCGGATCGATCCGAACCATTCATGTTATAACTGTGTAGCTGCAGCATGGCTCTACTACATCAAAATAATCACATAGTCGTTTCTTACGACAGCCACGGGGCGCAACGTGATAATGGATACTGTTACGCCGCCACCACACGACAATGGCAACAGTGATGAAGAATTTGTGATGATTTAAGTATAATCTATTCATCTATGCGTATGAATGTGTCTGTCTGTAATATTGAAATAACTGGCTAACTTCCACTAAGCTCAGGAGGTTATTTGCTTGCTATTTAGACATAAACACGGAATATAAAAAACAAGCGTATTTAATTGATTTTGACTACAATGATTATGTTCTCATTTTAGTTATATTGAAGTAGGTTGTTGTACAACATTTTTTAATTTTACCACTTGTTTTAATTCCTGACGCTCTGCGTTCATTGGACGAAAAGTTGATATCTAAAAGCTGAAGATAATATTATCTTAAAGCTGAAGGTAGCCTATGCTAACTTATCAAAACGTCAAATACATCAGTCTCCTCATGACCATGGGTGCTTAAATCACCCGAAACATCGGACACTAAAAATAAGGTCAAAAATGTGCAAGTTTTTCATTTGAAAATTGAATATCGTAAATTAATATATATTATGACATATTGACTGTGTGGGAAACAATTTTCGAAATGTTTATACTTTGTAAATTAAACTATGAAACTTGTAAAAAGGAAAAACTGAGTTCAAAGAACTAACTGTAATAATATAATTATCGAAACCAATTGACTAGTGGTGGTAATGAACTATTCACCTATACGTGTTTGACGGCTCCATGGCGCAGTGGCTTAGCAATGAGTTGCTGCGCTGGGGACCGCGGGTTCGAATCCCGCACGGAACAAGTACCTAATTTTATGGACTACAAGTAATTGTTCCGGGTCTGGATGTTTGTCCTTGTGCAATTTGTGTTTGTAAACTGCCTCCATGATACAGCAGAAAATCCTAGTGGGGGTAACGTTTTTAAAAAAATGTGCGGATTCCTATACAAATTGAATTTAATGTTTTTCTCATAGATCCCATCATCAGATCATGATTAAATTTTTATGGGATCACTCTTGAGATAGCCCTTTTCCTTTTAAAAAAAAAGTATGCATGTGTAATGCATTCATAAAAAACATTCCGACGAATTGTAAACCTCTCTTTTCAAGTCGGTTGAATAGCCGTATCAGGGTTTCATTACTCGCAACATAATCGACATAATACAATCTCGGCCGCAAGCATTTCGTGCGGCGAGGGAGAGGGATGCACCCATGGGGATGCGAAGGCCAAGGTCGACGGGCCCCTAATCCGTTCGAACGTAGTGCAGCACGCGTCGATACCGTTGTACGAGTATAATATATAGAATAATACCAGCTGGACAAGTTATTGTACAGTTGCTGACGGCTCCGTGGCGCAGTGGTTTAACAATGAGTTACCGCACTTAGGGCCGCCGGTTCGACACCCGCACAGTTCAGATATTTTTGTATGGCCTATAAATAATTATTCCGAGTCTGGATGTGCTTGTCCTTGTGAAATTTATGTATGTAAACTGCTACCACGATGCAGGAAAAAGTCCAAGAGTGGAGGTAACGTTTTAAAAAGAAAAAAATATAAGATGCCTAAGGCCTGGTAATTTTTTTTTTATGAACCCATTCCTTGGTTACTTACTACTTGGTTATTACTTGGTGCCCCTTTTCCAGTAAAAATCCCCAGATCTCTACACTCACCATTCGAAACACAGCAGTGTTAAGCTGCTATTTTACACTGGTATTCTGTGAGAGCGTGGTCCGTCCCCGGTCGAGCCGACCCATTCATGCTACAACTATACTACTAATATAGCTGCAGCTTGGCTGCCGCGTACCAAACAGTTTTCAGACACAACAGTAAGACAATAGCAATGAACTGCATGTATTACACGGAACAGCGAAAGGGATCATAGGAAAACGATCATGCTCATTTCTAGACATCTCCAAAAACAGGAGGTCAATAATTCGACGTTTTTGATGTTTTCTTTCATATGTATGTGTAAAATAGAGTAGCAAAATAGTGGGTGAGGTTTTTAATGTAACTGTTTAGACGACATTGTGATTGTCCACTCAAAAGGTTAAAAAAATTAAATTAAAAGAAAAAGTAACAGACACCTAAAATTGCAAAACACAGCAACATCGTGCTGGTATTTCACGCTAATATTGCTCCTGGGGATTGCACGCTAATATACCCGACCGGGGAAGGACCACTCGGTAGGACTTTCTAGTAATCCTTCCTCGGTCGATTGAACCGATTTGTGCTGCAATGTGCACACTACAGCGTAGCTCTTTTTTGTACGTGGTAGAGCCATGCTGCAGCTATATTACTAGTATAGTTGTAGCACGAATGGGTCGGCTCGACCGGGGAAGGACCACGCTCTCACAGAATACCAGCGTAAAATAGCAGTTTAACACTGTTGTGTTTCGTATGGTGAGTGTAGAGAACCGGAGACCCTTTTTACTGGAAAAGAGGCATTCCATCTTAGTAACGAACGAGTAGCAAACGAGAATAAATGTAGATGTCTATGGGCCACAGCAACCACTTACCATCAGGTGGACTGTGTGCTCGTTTGTCACCCGATCCAATAAAAAAAAAAGAATAGATGACGTAGTAATAAGTTGATTACTTTGGGAGTGAAGTAAACTTCAATCTAATATGCGTTTACGTTACTTCGTTCCACGGACTGTATGTGCATTATTCAGTCATTTATAACAAGAAGCTACACTTTTGATATGGACGAATTAATAGTTGTTTGATGACCGGTCAGGTTACCTGGCTACAAAGCAGCAGGTCATGGTTTCAAATCCCCCGTATAATATGCAAAACAACTTGTTTTCGTTAAGTTATGAGGGGTTCTTGGCTGGGGGAAAAAGCTGCATAGGTTATTTAAAAATATATCACACTGGTTTAATACACGACAAAAAAACAAAATGCAGTTTTTGAGTGGCAGATCTAAGTAGGTAGGTATAGGACTGGAACAAGCCTTGATAAGCGCAAGTATTTTTTTATTTTAGTTTTGTTTACTTCTAAAATAATAATAATAAACGCAATGCTATTTATATTGTAACATTCCCTCCCTTTAGCCATCCAATTGAGCATTCAATTATTATGTTAGGAGAGGACGATAGTAGTCAAATGGCGGATTCGAACCGCAAATTTAAATCGTATATATTTGCGATCCATACCCTAACTCTCGTGTTTTGCAGTTTAGTGGTAATATAACAATAACGGATAAATAATGTTCATTTATTAGTAGTTATTAAGTATATAAAAGCAAACCGTGTAATATCACATATCACAGTCTAACTACTACTCTTCATAGGCGACAGATGAAAACTGAAACAGAAAATTGGCTGCGGTTGCTAACCTGCCTGCCAAACGTGGCTATTATAGCAACATCCCGCCCCATGGAGCAATCTATGGGGGAGGCCAGGCCTATGTTCAGTAGACTTTTAAATGCTGTAATGAATGGATTTAAAAGCAAAAGCTATTTTAAATATTGTATTTCGAATGTCATAGGCTAACACTATAACTACACGAAAATACATCTATATAATATGTGTAAAATATAAACTCAAAGTAACTTTCCATTTGTTTCTATAGTAAAATAACCGAGGGTATTGTAAAAATCCTCCGATAAAATAAAAAGTAATATTGCGGGTAGTTGAACGTTGGAGCGTCGACGTCGAGGCTTTATTTTCGGGCTCAGTCTTTAGGCGTTCTCGTCCGCTACGTGTCGTTCGCGATAGTCTCGGAAACTGAGTACTCCTGCTTCCGACCTTTGTTTCGTCACCTCTATCGCGATTTGACCGCTCATACGTAACTTCGTTCTTCCTACCCGCGAATACGTAGAATAGCGCCGTTTGCGTCTATAGACACCCATAGTTTTAGTTGTACATACGTTGTTTTGTTGTATTTGTTTTATTTAAATCTTTTTTTGTGTTTTTGTTTATATTTATTATATAGTTTTAAGTGTTAGATTAAGTAGTAACGTATAGTATACGTGTCATCGCCGCCATTTTGTCGTGCTGCGTCGCGCCCCTTTTCCCGCTAATTTTATTTTTCATCGCGAAATGGTGAGCAAGGAAATTACGGTTGGTGATGTTGGTAAGAAAACTAGAAGGAGAAGACGTAGGGCTGGCAGCAGAGCTTCTAGAAAGCGCGCGCGCAAGATGGCGACCGTCGCCGTTAGTCTGACTCCAGGGTCGGAGAAGACGTCGTCGCCGATCAAATGTGCCGTGCATGCGTTCGTGCTGCGGTACCAGAGTGCCCTGAGGAAAGTTCCAGCACACCTACCGCCGCGGGTCCATGCCGGACCACCCTCGAAGAGGGTCAAGCGAGTGTCTTGGTGTAAGTGCTGTCATAAACTTTTTGTTCATACGACAAATGTAGGGCTTAGATGTTACAAAGTTGTAATATACAGCATATTTTACGTTAATACTAATCGTGTTTTTTTTAAAATAATTTAGATTTTTTTAGTTTTATAGTAATAATATGTCATGTCAAAAAAGTATTAACTCTTTGTATATTATTCGGTCGATATCGTTTTTGCGATAATTTAAGTCGAGCATTTTTGGCTAGACACCGTACCAAAGATATAAACATATAAAAATAATATAATAATTGAAATCAGTTGACGTGGTAAACCCTCATTTGCCGATATGGCGTAATTTTTTCATGGTTCCCATCATCAGGTCGTGACAATAAAATAATCATTGCAATTGCAATTGACGGCTCCGTGGCGCAGTGGCTTAGCAATGAGTTGCTTGCGCTAGGACGGCGCGGGTTAGAATCCCGCACGGAACAATTATTATTGTATGGTCTACAAATGATTGTTCCGGGTCTGGATGTTTGTCCTTGTGCAATTTGTGTTTGTAAACTGCCTTCACGATACAGGAGAAAATCCTAGTGTGGGTGGCGTTTTTTAAGAAAAAATAAAAATAAAAAAAATCTGATAACGTGGTAAAGAATAATCGCCGAATTTTCCAGGAATTAAGAACCTCCTCCTTTTTTTAGTGGGTTGAAAAAGCGTCACAAAGATCCTCACAACCTGTAACTATGCTAAATCTGTTACATAGTTCAGACTGGAACACAGCGTCGTCACTGTTACAGCGTATTAAAGTCCATAGCTGAACATAGGCCTGCCCCAAAGATTGCCTCATAGGAGGAATATTTACCATAGTTGCCACGCTTGGGAATCGGGTTGGCAATCGCAGTTTTTATTTATAATCGTTAGGAAGACGCTGCTGCCCATCTCTTGATTTGTTTCTCTCTGTCGCCTCTTACAACAATATGATACGTGGTAGTGGACATCACCACTACACTATTTGGCGGTAGAAATAGATAAGACGGTGGTACCCAGCCAAACTGACTCCAAGGCAAAAATTTGATCCACCTGGTACCACCTGGTAAAACTATTTATTAGTTATTTTACCCTAATTTTTTAGCCGCCTTTTCCTTGATTGGACTTTTTACGGTTCCGTAGTTACACAACAAAAAACTCTAGTTTCGCCATGTCCGTCCTTCCGTTCGCGGTTTTACTCAGAGATCCTAGGACCTAGGTGCTACAAATCTGTAATTTGGCATAGTTATAGATATTAAACACTCCTACAAAACTGTTAACTGTGAACATTTTTATTTTGGGTACTTCACATACAAGGAAATGGAGAATGATTTTTTTTGGGGTATCGTTGGATAGGTCTTCTAAAAACAGTGGGGGTGTGAAACAACATCTTTTCGATTCAGGGGTCCGTTTGCGAAATATTATGCTTTAAAATGGTATTTTTCATTAGGGTCATGTGTCCCCGAAGCCGAATTTAATCTTTTTTGAATTTCACTCCCTATAAGTCTGATTTGAAAATAAGTAATTCATTTACGATCCTCCTATTTGGGTCCATTTTAGTCGTTATAGCGGTCAAACCGCGAACTCTCTTATTATGCTCATTATGAAGGAAGCCCACGTATTGTGACGAGCAACTACGGAACCCTACCTCTACATTGTGCGTGGCGGACACGCACTTGGCCAGTTTTTTATTATTATTATTATTGTTATTTGTTGTATGTTCATTTATTATTATTATAATATTATCTTTAATTATTGCCAATTAGATACATTATGTATGTAAATACCTCCACGATACAGGAGAAAATCCTACTGAGAAAATAGATTGAAAATGGGCTTAGTTGAGAATACACTGAATCTACGAGCATGCATGCGGTAGATAATAGATACGTACCTATGTGAAAACTGTAGGGAATACGCCAAATGCACAACACGTTTGAGCTAATGTAATTTTAATGGGAATTAAAACGCACTCTTTTGTAAGTCCGTACTCTCTGCCAACCCATTAATAAGGTTAGAATTAGATCCGTACCTATTACAAGATTATATCGGCACTAAACACGACCTCACAACGCTCTCGCCTGAAGGTGAAGGTCGAACCCCACTGTGCTTAGTGCACTAGGCAATCATGAACGGTTATAAATAGTAGATAGTAGTTAGGTACTATAAATTGATATAATATTTTTTTTAAATCTGTTACAACTTTTATATTTGTAATTTTAATATTTGCGTACTAACTTGACTTAAAGACAGTAAATAGACTGGTCGTAAACAAGTGGTAAAATTATAAATTTTGTACAACCGACTTCAATATGAATTATTAATGATAACTCAAAAACTACTGGGCAGACCTTGATCAAATTTATATGGGACCACACGAGAAGCACCAGCTTTCAAATGAAAAAAGAATCATCGAAATCGGTTCAGTTATTTTCCAGTAAAAAGAACTCCCACTGCGATTTTTTATTTACTTCCGAAAATAAAAGAAAAACTTCGAGGAAAACGTTTTATGGACGCCGAGGAAGCAGTGGCTACGTTTCAAAAAGCCGTCGAAGATACCCCTAAGGACGAGTGGGCAAAGTGCTTTTCTCAGTGGTTCCATCGGATGCAGCGATGTATTCATGTAGATGGACACTATTTTGAAAAGATTTAATAAAACTAATAACTTGCTAGTTTGTTCAATTTTTGATTTTCTAAGAAATTTCAGTGTCACCCTCGTAGCTGCCACATAGTTCCACCGGTTGCGGTACCGGGTACGGTTTATCAGTTACGTGGTTCTTTTCTAGAAGGTCTTGATTTTATGAACCAGTGTGTATTTTGTACTTTATAAGATCTTTAAACTAGCCTAAATTAAATAAAACGTTTTGACATTGATTTGGAGCTATATGGCTGGCCCGTTGCCTCTTCGGATTACTAATGGTAACACCTGCTCCTATTTACTGATGGGCGGAGAGTTCGGTGAACTTTAAATTTCCATATTGACGTACATTTACGTAACAATTAGATTGCAACCGTTAGCAATATTAAATAAATCTCGCGTCTTGTAAAAAAAATTGATTGCAGAGGTCTTTGTCCTCTGGCGTAATGCGTTGCTAATTACTTGGTTAGCTTGTTGGTAATATTACGGATATGTTTAGAAAGGTGTAGCGTGTTTTTTGTGTGTACAAACGATTATGTATTTTGATGGCGACGTAATATAATCTACTATCTCATATCGTGTCGTGGGTTTCGTATGACGCGATAGATTTGAGTGCGTCGTGAGTATAGTAGCTACTGATCATGAGGTTCCGAGTTCGAATCCCGGGTCGAGCCGAAATTAGTTGTTGGTTTTTTCTGTCGAGAAATTCTCAGTAACAGCCTGGAGTCTGGTAATTGGCGGTGTTTCATCCTCGTTCCTCGAAAAAAAGAGCAAGTAAAACCATCGGATAACCGTCCCATTAAACTACGAGAGACAAGGAATAGAGAGTGTAGTAGCACATACACTCGAGCCCTATAGTCCTGTCCTGCTCAGGTGGCTAGTCTCGGTTGAGGCTGGCCGCCGTGACCGAAAATAGGTCCGGACGACTTTATTACGATCGTGTATTTTGACTGCCGTGTAGTAGAGACATAAAAGGTTTCACTATCAAATAATAATAGGGATAATGTAGGATTCTAAAGGTGAAATAATTTTTCAAATCGGTCCAGTAGTTTCGGAGCCTATTCAATTCAAACAAACAAACAAATCTTTCCTCTTTATAATAGTAGTGTAGATATATATACATAGATGTGATTTGATATTGGGTAACAGTTTTATTGTTATGGTTGCAAACTTTTTGTACGAGAAATTAAGTACCTATATTAAGAACGAATTAAAACAAACAGTATAATTGAAAAAAAAAAAATACAGTATTTTAGAACAATTTACAGCATTTTTGGAAAATTAAAAAGTAATAGTTTTTTTTTTTGAAGTTTTATAAACATTATTTTTGCTTCGCCCACAATTTGAAGTTTATAATTTAAAATCATTTTTAAAATATTCATAAGACGTCACAATTTACGTAGAAATTAAAATAAACGAGGAGCTCGTTTTTTTATTAAATTAATAGAAGCACTACATATTTCAGTATTTATGGCTCCAGATACCAGCGATGATAAAAACAGTATTTTGTATTCTTTTTTTTAATAATTTAAAATTAAAAATTTTGTACAGCCGACTTCAATATAAGTTATTTAAGAATAACTTAAAAACTATTGGTCTGACCTTGATCAAATTCATATGGGACCACACGAGAAGTACCAGCTTTCAAATAAAAAAAGAATCATCGAAATCGGTTCACCCAGAAAAAAGTTCTGAGGTAACACACATAAAAAAAAAAACGAAAAAAAAAACATACAGTCGAATTGAGTACCGGCTCCTTTTTGGAAGTCGGCAGAAAAGAATAGTAAACATTATTAAAGAGAGCAATAAAATAAAATACTGTTATTAACAGAATAGTTGGTCCCTTTTACAGGCTACCAAAAGTCCACTGCTGAATATAAGCCTCCCCCATAGATCCTCACAGGGCGGATATTTGCCATAGTTGCCACGCTTGGCGGACGGGTTGGCAACCGCAGGTTATAGTTGTTATTTGGATGACGCTGCTGCTCATCTCTTTGGTTTGTTTCCCTCTATCGCCTCTTATGACACTCACGGAACGATATGAGGTAGATGATATTCTTAAACCGCCGTTACACCGTCAAGTATGGTTGGTAACCCATTCCTAACTCGTATTGTTGTGTTGTTTGCAGGCGAGGAGGAGCGCGGCGGTGGGGAGGGTTGCGGTGCGGGCGGCGCGGGGGGAGCGGACCCCGCCGTGCTGGCGCTGGGGCCGGCGCGGCGGCCGCTCGTGTACTCGCGCGACACGCTCATGCGGCTGCGCCACTCGCCGCTCGTCAAGCAGGGCCTGGAGCACGCCTTCAAGGGATGCGACGCGCTCGCGCTGTGAGTCACACGCTTATTACTGTACGTCACTCCATCTAGTGTAGGGTCGCCCTACACTTCGCTTATCAGTATGAGGTTGCCACTCGAGAACCTTTCTTCCCCATTGGTTGTCGATTCCTCGAGTTATGCAATAAATGAATTATGAATTATGTGGCCGGCCCATTGCCACTTCAGCTTAGTGATCCGTTATATCACTTAGTACCTAATTAACTAGAAAGGGGCATCTCTCACTCCCAAAAAGCATAGTGCTGTCCCTTAAACTTAAATTTTCCATCACCTGGTGAGAAATATCCACCAACTTCCTGATGAGAAAAACAATCAACGTCATTAGAACTTCAACAATATAGGAACCCACTCTAGAAAATAATGTTGGCTACGCTCATAACTGCAGTAGATGGATACCTGCATGAATCTTAAAACTACGAAGGTTTATTGCGGAGTTAGCTAAGTTGACTTCTGACTACATTCGCTAACTCTAATAGAAAACTATAAAAAAATATGGGAATGACTTTATCTAAATATTAAGTCTAGTGACCTAACATCGATTTCGTGAATTTACGAGGTGCGTTATCGCCTCTTAGGATGAAATATATAATATCGCTGGTTAGTCTTGTATAGCTTCACATCCGTGAATTTGACAAGAGTTTAACTTTCCCAATTACATTTGCAATGGAGATCGGATTCTAATGGTAATTGTGTACCATGAATATGAAATACACGGCGAGAGAGATACCATTATTAAAGTTTTTATTTATTATTTAAATAGTTTAAACATAAAACCCGTTATGGTTTTAATGGTAAATTAAATAACTCTGAAGCCTTATCACTTATCAGAGATAAGAGGAAGGCCTTGGCCCAGTAGTGGAATATAATTAGCTGCAACTTTAACTTTTGAATAACTCTGTAAATCTGCCTGTTCTCTCTATTCAAGTAACTCTTAAAGGAGATGAACTTCTTTCCATACAAGCTTGGGCCCGGCGTAAACAAAGTTCAAATATATCTTATTTTGAAGATTTAAACATTTGTTACTTATGACAAAAAATCATATTTTTGTAGGGCCTGGGGTTTTGTTTTTATTTCGTTTTATTATTTGTAGGTTATGTAGTAAAATCAGTCGTTCTTGGGATAAGTTGTTTCAATAAATTTAAAAGAACACAAAAGGATGCCGTTTTTTAGTTATTATTAAATATAAAATTAAATACAACTCAAACTTTTCTAATTGTTTAATTATTTTCTGCAATTATTAATAAAATGTCATCTAGAAAAGCAGCCGGAGGCTATACATTGTCTGTTCTATTCCTCTCAAAACCCAAGTAACACATTATTGTCATTATGTGGGCGCAACAACTTACTCTGTACTGTAAATCGAGAGAAAACCCAGGGGTCAAGTTAAATTAATTCACGAAAATAAAAACACGAAATATATCCACAAACACAACCACAATGCCAAATGGGTATGACAAGTTTAAACTCGAAGTTACCAAGTCTCCTTCAAAACAGGCAATGATCAACGACCATACAGCCCATTCAACCGTGTCCGATATTATTCAAGTATTTAGTTTAGTTTAATAACGTAGCCTATTCGATCTATTTTCTAAATAGATTTCTTTTATTCAGTATTAATCTTTACGGATTCGCCTCAATGTTTCAATATTATGAGTTTTTTTTTATACTGAAGGCTATTTATTACAAAAAGCTTAGCTTTCATTATCTAATGCCATAGACAAAATACATAAAAATATTAATAACGTTTTGTTTTTGCTATGGTAAAAGCATTAGCTTTCGTTTTTCAGTTTTAAAAAATGTTTTTATGATTGTCCCATACACTACAGAAATAAAAACCATTTAATTATGCTTATAATTTATCGTTATATTACCTACATATTTTTGTATAACTGTTAAGAACGATGTCAACAACCCAATTTCATACATCTCCTTTGACGTAAGAATCAATTTAAGCGACATTTAGCATTAAGTTATAATATTATTTTCAGTGTACTTAAGAAAAGATCTGACTCACCAAATGAAGACGACAAAGGAGCTAAGGGGGATGCTCCTAGTGAAAACCATAAGGTATTTACTTATTTGTTAATTCTACAATTTTTGCTTATTTAGTGTGTTGGTCATACACACTTGGAACAAACAATGTGACATATACATAATTAGAAACACTTAGTAAATTGAAAATAATATGTCAGCTTTTTTTTTGTAATTGCAATTGCAAACATAGACACCTGTCACTCAGAGATACAGACTTCCATTTGGCACAATACTGAAACACTTGTCTTGCCTCTTTCCATATACAATCCATATACCAACGCATACATGCTAGTCGGTTAAGGGTACTCTTTAATTTGGCCCATCTTCAATATATAAATTGGTCGACACTCTTCAGTCTAGGGCGTCCCTTGCCGACTATGCCACTCACTTCTGCAACTGTATTTATACTAAACGTTTTTAAACGGTTTCCATATAAAAAGTTACTAACTCACCTGCCAAGCGTGACAACTGTGGCAAATATGGCGATATAGCTACGCTGAAGCGTATCGTAGCTGCAGCACGATTGCGTCGGCTCCACTGGTTAAGGATCACGCTTGCACAGAATACCAGCATGATACTGCTGTGTTTCGTATTTTTTTTAGAATAAGGGTTAAAGCGAGCACACAATCCACCTGATGATGGTAAGCGGGTGTTGAAGCCTATATACATCTATATTTATCCTCGAATAAGAATCAAAATGCAGATGTGTCGTCACTCCTAAGGACTAAGATCGAATGACACGTTTCCAGTAAAAGGGTCTCCGGTTTTCTACACTCACCATACGAAATATAGCAGTGTTACGATGCTATTTGACGATGGTATTCTGTGGTAGCGTTATTCAACCCCGGTCGAGCCGACTCATTTGTGTTACAACTGATATAGCTGTACCGTGGCAGCTGCAGTAAGTGATGAGAACCGAAGTCCCCCTGTAATGGTAATAAGGCGTTTATCATAGTCTAAAGACTTTTGTTTGAGGTTATAAGTAGTACACCTTTTATTCCGGATTGAAATGGTAAAGTTTGATAGTCAGTTGATCACTCAATAATTAGACATATTTAAGTTTTGTTTATATTATGTTGGTCTGGGACTTATAGCTCCCCCGTTTATGTGGGACTTATAACAAAAGAAATGCGAAAAAAGGCGACTAATGGAAAAGGGTTTGTAATTATGTAGTTTATGGGCTGGACGCCTATATCACTGTTTTCGTTCTTTTCACAATTTTCATCTAAACCCAAATTTTTTTTGTTATACGTGGTCTGATGTAGTTCGCTAATTTTGTACTCTGTCTACCCCCTCTGTGATTATAGGCGTGACGTTGTGTATGTATGTATGTATTTAACCTGATGTTCTTGCAATTGTTGTTTTCCCACAATAATGTTAGTGACCAAAGGATTGATATAGTATTATTATATTACTGGCTCGTTGGTTAGTCGTTAGCCTAAGATCAGATAGTGGATCTTTTGTCAAGAAATTCTTAGGAGCACCCCGGAGTCGGAAAATTGGCCGTGTTTCATCCCCGTGTATCGGAAAGCATGTAAAGCCGATTGTCCTGCGGCTGATCATTCTTAGTTTCGGACTGGCGTTCCATGGGACTATGGTGTGAGAGAATCAAGAGTGTACTATAATCGTATCTTGTGTAGTTGGCTAGTGTCTGTTGTGCCGGGCTGCCGAGACCGGAATTTATTTTTTTTGTCTGGCCTGGAGGACATCATCCATCATAGCCTATTATAATAGTCCATTGCTCAACATAGGCCTCTTTTTTATAGCAGAGGGGGTAAACGAGCATGCGGCTCACCTGATGGTAAGTAACTACGGCCGCCCATGAACAACCACAACACCAGGGGAATTGCAGATGCGTTGCCGACCTTTTAGAAAGGTGTAAGCACTTTTCTTGAAGGTCTCTAAGTCGTATTGGTCCGGAAAAATCGCCGGTGGTAAACAATTCCACAGAGAAGTTGTACGAGGAAGAAAACTCCTAGTAAAACGTAGTCGTGCACCGCCAATCATCCAGATGGTGAGGATGATATCGTGAATTTTGACGCGATGTGCGTTCATGAAATTTGGCGGCTGGAATTAATCCGAACAATTCCTCAGAGCACTCCCCGTGGTAATTCGATAGAAAATGCAAAGGGATGCAACATCCCTACGCAGTGGCAGTGTATCGAGGCGATCAGAAAGAACTCGGTCCTCGACGATTCGAACCGCTCTGAGCTGGATGCGGTCAAGTGGAAGGAGCTGGCACTGGGGTGCTCCGGCCCAGAGATGAGAACAGTATTCCATGTGAGGCCGAACTTGCGCTTTGTAAAGTTGCAAGCGATGTGCCGGCATGAAATACTGTCTCGGTCTGCTGAGCACGCCAAGCTTTTTAGAGGCCCATTTGGCCTTCCCTTCCAAGTGACCACAAAATTGCATACTGTTCGATATGTCGACGGCGAGGATTCCGATGTTAGCTAAGGCAGCAAGGGGAGTGCCTTGAAACTGAGGAGATACGGCAATGGGGTTCTTTTAGCGATTTACGTGCAAACTTGTGTCTTCTGGGGATTGAACTGGACTATATTTAGTCGCCCCCAATCAGAGACTTTCTTCAGCAAAGACTCTACTTCAGACGGCCGGTATATAAGGCATCACCAGTGCTGTCGTCTGCATAGCAATGAATGTTACCAGTTTGCAACATATCATTGATATGCAGGAGAACTTGTGGAACACGAGCGTTGATAGGCTTGAAATCAGAGCATGCACCGTCTACTACGACCTTGATGCGCCGATCAGCAAGGAAACTGGTGATCCATTTGCACAATTCACGGGAAGCCCATAGAAAGAAGCGCTTTGTGCCAGACCCGATCGAAGGCTTTCGCTATGTCCAAACTAACCGCCAATGCCTCCCCCTTGGACTCTACTGCCTCCGCCCATCCAAGAGTCAGGTAGACCAGAAGATTACCAGCTGATCGGCCCCGAAAAGAACCGTACTGGCGTTAACTAATTAGCTGTTGATCCTCAAGGTACCTCATGAGCTGGCAGTTTATAATGGATTCCATTATTTTGGAGAATAAGGAGGCGATGGCGATAGGCCTGTAGTTGGACGGGTTTTAAGCGGTCGCCTTTTTTAGGGACCGGGTGGACCAAAGCTGTCTTCCATGAATTTGAGACTACGCCTTGGGAGTTGGAGTACTGGAAAAGATGCGTTAACACCGGTGCCATTTCCGGAGCACATGTCGTTAGCACAATAGGAGGGACTCCATCAGGCCCACTCGACGTACAGGGAGAAGAGTGCTTTGCGAACCAAGCGCTGTGTAAATCGCACATCCGGCATGAAGCACTCACACCGCGGGATGGTCGGCGGTGTGTTCCCCCCGTCATCTAGAGTAGAGTTGGACGCGAAGAGAGAGCTCAACAGATCGGCTTTCTCCTTTGCGGCATGGGCCACTCCTCTCTGTGCAGAGATGGAAGAGATGACTGACAGAAGTTCCCTTGGACAGCCTTGGCGAGAGACCAGAATGCACGGGCACCCCAAAGCAAGGCGAACTGAATTGGCGAGAAGCTATCTCGCCAATTTTGCCGATGTGCTCAGACCTTGCCTTAGCAATGACGCTTTTGGAGGACCTGGAGGCGGAATTTAATTCTTTTTAAGAGCGCTGATGTTTACTTCCCGAGACGTTGATGCGTCAGCCCAGGCCCGGTAGTACTCCTGCTTATAGCGTGATGCTATTTTACAGGAGCGATCAATCCATGGCTGGGATCTGCCTCCAATGGGCACACAGAGGATGGAATAAAAAGTTGTATACCCTGAAGTACCACATCAGCAACAGAATCTGCAAAAACGCTGGGATCTTCCGGCGAGAAGCAAACCTGCCCCAAAGGGTAGGATGCAAAAAAAGACCGCATCCCGTCCCAATCGGCCGACCTATAGTGTCTAACACGGCGGCAGGCTACAGATCGCAAGTGCGATTGGAGCGTGAGTGGCACCGTACTTCGGATCAGACAATGGTCCGAAGAGCCTAGAGGGGCATCAACGGAGACCTGATATCCGTCCGGATGAGAAGTCAGCAGAAGGTCCAACAGGGAAGGTACATGATCCTTCACATCTGGGACCCGCGTAGGCGAAGTAACCAGTTGTGTTAGACCATATGCCAAGGCAAAGTCATAGACAGATCAACCTGCATGATCGGTTAAACGGGAACCAAGCCATTCGCGTGGTGGGCGTTAAAATCACCGAGTATCACGATCTCTGCGACTGGAACCTGTTGTAGCACGGAGTCTGCAGCCATTTGGACGTGGTCGATGAGTCTGTCTGTGTCGGCATTACCGCTATGGGACCTATAGAGGCACCCGTAGACGCGGGGATGGTCGTCGCTGTCTACGCGCAGGCATAGGATGGACAGGTGAAGACTGCCGAGGCGTCGAAAACAGATGCCCTCTCTGACGTATACGCAAACTCTAGCCTGGGGCACAAAGGAGTGTTCTAATTTGGACACCGGGTAGGAGAGATATGAAGTATTAGCCGGAGAGGACACCTGAGTCTCGGTTAAAAAGAGCAAGGCCGGCTTAGCCGTCTCTAGATAGTAATGGACAGCGTTAAGGTTGGAATGAAGTCCCCTGATGTTGCAAAAATTCACGGATAGCGTGACAGGGGTTGCCTTCGTTCTATTGCTACGCTTGCACCGAGCAGTAGTAGTCGTGAGCGGAATTTTGCTCCCCCCCAGAATAGGCGGGGCAGCCTCAGCACTCACGCTCAGGAGTGGAGTAGTTTGGTCGTGGATGCTTAGCAAGGGTTTCCCCAGGGGCGCTGGTACCCTCCTGGGGTAGTTTTTTATTTAATTCCGTTGCCATGTTGATAGGGGGAGGGGGGGGGGGGGGATTGGGCCTCCGGCCACCTGCACTCACCAAGCGCAACGCAGAGGTAAACCTCTACTTCACGCTGGTATTGTGTGAGGTAGTGGTATCACCCCGGTTTGAGCCGGCCCATCCGTGCGACAGCAAGATTGTTTCTCTATAAATATAGATTGCTTCTCATATAGATTGCTTCATAAGGGGATATTTCGTCATAGTTGCCTGGCTTGGCAACTGTAGTATTTTATTATTTTGAGTTGTTATTAAGAAGAAGCTGTTGCCGCATTCCGTGTTTCTGTTCCTCCTGGTCTCTTCTTAAGACACCCACAAGACATGGGGCAGTGGATATTGTTACAACGCCACTAGACGGTGGACATTATAGTGACGTAACTACTAGCAGGGTGGTGGCGGTGGTGGTGGAGGCGGGCGCGAGCGCCGCGCTGCCGACCCGCGGGAGCGCGTGCGGCGCGAGAGCGAGGGCAGCGGCATCGTGCTGTCGCCGCAGCGGCGCTCGTTCACGTCGGGCTGCGGCGCGCCCGCGCCCCCGCCGCCGCCCGCGCGCCAGGACTCGCCGCCCGCCGCCGCACACGCGCACGTCAAGACGGAGCAGGGTGAGTGCAGCAGTGCAGCAGTGCAGCAGTGCAGCACATCGTGCTGTCGCCGCAGCGGCGCTCGTTCACGTCGGGCTGCGGCGCGCCCGCGCCCCCGCCGCCGCCCGCGCGCCAGGACTCGCCGCCCGCCGCCGCACACGCGCACGTCAAGACGGAGCAGGGTGAGTGCAGCAGTGCAGCAGTGCAGCACATCGTGCTGTCGCCGCAGCGGCGCTCGTTCACGTCGGGCTGCGGCGCGCCCGCGCCCCCGCCGCCGCCCGCGCGCCAGGACTCGCCGCCCGCCGCCGCACACGCGCACGTCAAGACGGAGCAGGGTGAGTGCAGCAGTGCAGCAGTGCAGCAGTGCAGCACATCGTGCTGTCGCCGCAGCGGCGCTCGTTCACGTCGGGCTGCGGCGCGCCCGCGCCCCCGCCGCCGCCCGCGCGCCAGGACTCGCCGCCCGCCGCCGCACACGCGCACGTCAAGACGGAGCAGGGTGAGTGCAGCAGTGCAGCAGTGCAGCAGTGCAGCACATCGTGCTGTCGCCGCAGCGGCGCTCGTTCACGTCGGGCTGCGGCGCGCCCGCGCCCCCGCCGCCGCCCGCGCGCCAGGACTCGCCGCCCGCCGCCGCACACGCGCACGTCAAGACGGAGCAGGGTGAGTGCAGCAGTGCAGCAGTGCAGCAGTGCAGCACATCGTGCTGTCGCCGCAGCGGCGCTCGTTCACGTCGGGCTGCGGCGCGCCCGCGCCCCCGCCGCCGCCCGCGCGCCAGGACTCGCCGCCCGCCGCCGCACACGCGCACGTCAAGACGGAGCAGGGTGAGTGCAGCAGTGCAGCAGTGCAGCAGTGCAGCACATCGTGCTGTCGCCGCAGCGGCGCTCGTTCACGTCGGGCTGCGGCGCGCCCGCGCCCCCGCCGCCGCCCGCGCGCCAGGACTCGCCGCCCGCCGCCGCACACGCGCACGTCAAGACGGAGCAGGGTGAGTGCAGCAGTGCAGCAGTGCAGCAGTGCAGCACATCGTGCTGTCGCCGCAGCGGCGCTCGTTCACGTCTGCGTTCACGACTACGGAGCGCCCGACGTGAATTAGCTAGGGTTGTCCTACACTTCGCCTACCGGTACCAGGTTGGTACTTGAGAATCTTTCTTCCCCATCAGTTGTCGGGGCAAAGGGTAGCTTCCGACTAGATTAAGTGACGACCTGGTAAGACATGTAAGTAATCGATGGATGTTTTAGTTTAGGATAGTGCTTTGTGGCATTCCTCCGGGGAGGTTTATGTTCAGCAGTGTATTTGTAAAGGACTGTAATGATCATGAAATAATATGGCCAACAGACGACACGTATAATTAATATTATACGCGTTCTCACTTGCACCTTATGGGTAACGGTAGGATACTATTCGAATACTATGATTGGTATAAGAATAGTATACTTTCGTTTGGCCTAGACAAAAGCGGCAGATAAAGGTGATGCTTGTCGTAAGTCTCGACATGTCATTGTATGTTGCTGCCTACATTTAATTTTTTTGTATTATTGTTTACTGTCTTATTAAAAGTCCACTATTAAACATAGGCCTCTCTCATAGATTGTCTCATAAGGGAGATATTTGCCATAATATAGCTTGGTGCAGTTAATTTATTTTATAGTTGTTAGGAGTGCACTCGCTACTGTCCATCCCTGTTTGTTTCCCTCTGTCGGCACTTACGACAGCCACGGGACGATGTGTGGTAGTGGATAATTGTCACACCGGCACTAGATGTTCGTTAGGAAGATGATATGTTGATGGAATGTTGGTGGCGGTTGCAGTGGGGCGGCGCATCGGGTCCGGGCGCATCATGGTGCGCGAGGCGAGCGGCGCGGGCGCCTGGGACGAGGCCGAGTTCCGCGACGCCTACCGCGCGCCGCCCGCCGCGCCGCCCGCCGACAGGTGACCGCGCACACATGCGCACGTACAAGTGCACACATACAGCGCACCGCCTGCGACACACGCACGCACATATACACGCTGAACACACACATATACTGCGATCTATTTAATTACACCTCCCTGGAATGCGTTGCCCTTCCCACTTCCCTCGTTCACATCACTGCGTACATGCCGTCGCGTCACTATTTTATAACTGTACGCCGTAGCAAAGCGTCGATATGACGTGATAGACGCCAGGTTTGAAATCAACTCGGTCGGGTTGAACACATGCATACATGCATTTATACACACGCACACATACGAGCCCGTACAGACGCACACACATATACACACGTACGTACGCACTCATATGCAAAATTTAGATGCTCTCCGTGCCCAAAGAAATAGGCACAAATACGAACATAGTAACGACTTGTACGGGTGTGCTCTCTAATGAACCCAAATGCTTTTATACTCAATGTCGATTATTTTAACGTGAATCAAAGTATTGTTTATGTCTATTCCCGCCCGTGTTTACCTACTCATTATCATTTTTGCAATCCCTGTCTGTAACAGAATATATTTAAAAAATATGTGTGTGTTTAGAATAAAAGGACTACACTAAGCATGATTTTATAATATTATCAACGAAGCTGATTTTAATGCGCCCTCTAATGAATAACATACGCACAAATATGCAACAACAAGTACGACTATTGCTACATCACAACTGTTTCACCTACCGTAAAAATATTGTGAGTAAATACCTTAAATTGAAAATTTTTGACACCCCCCCCCCCCCTGAAAAGAACTCTACCACAACTAACAAAACAGCTGATGACCTTGAAACCGCTCGAAAACCTGCTCTTAACCTCTCAGACCTTGACATTTTATTGGACATATTTAGTTAGAACTATGGTCAAGCCAAAGAGTATAGTAGGTCAGGCCAGACGATTTTTTAAAAAAAATGGTAAAAATAACTTAGAGTCATTACTATGTTCATATCCAAAAATAAAAAATTATCAACAATTAAAATATCGAATTATTTATATGAAGGTCAAGTGAGCGCTAGAGTGACGACGATTGCAAGACGATTTGTCGATAAATGAAATGTTTCGAGAAATTATCAATTACTGTGTAGTGGCGGTGTATGAATATTCATACTATTCCGTGGGTTTCGTAAGAGGCGACTGATCCACTGTTCAATACAACAAGGTACGTGTACCGTGGAACAGAACGTGGCAACTATGACAAGTATACCCTCTATGAGGAATATAGTGGAGGCCTATGTTCATTGGGGGTTTTTATAGGATGTAACGGTCCACCACCAGCAGTGGAATGAAACTGTAAGGAGAGGGAGGGATTAATTTTATTATTTAAAAAAATATTTTTGTGTTTTTTTTTTATAGAAGAGGGGGCAAACGAGCATGCGGCTCACCTGATGGTAAGTGACTACCGCCGCCCATGAACAACCGCAACACCAGGGGAATTTCAGATGCGTTGCCGGCCGTTTAGAAAGGTGTAAGCTCTTTTCTTGAAGGTCCCTAAGTCGTATCGGTCCGGAAAATCCGCCGGTGGTAAACAATTATGTGTAAAAAAGTCATCAAACAGCATCAAACAATTTATTAAACAAAAGCTGCGTAAACAAGTTCAATGGTTAAAACAATATTAAATAACAAAACCAAACAATTCTACTGAAAAGAAAAAAAAGTAAATATTATTTCACTTTTACAACTAAGGCAAATCTAACGAATCGCTATATTATGTTAAAATTCAATATATATATATATATATATATATATATATATATATATATATATATATATATATATATATATATATATATATATGTTAAAATCGAATAAATATTATGAAGAAAGAAACAAGGCCATAGAAACACTTGATTTTCATAAAGAAAAGAAATATATAATATAATTATATCGATAAACTCAGTAGAAGCCTCAAAAAAAATTAAATCACAGGTATATACTTGTACATCCGTAAGATAGCGTAATAAAGTATATACTTTATTACGCTATCTTTGAGCAACGCCATTTTTCTAACGACTTCAAACAGGAGAAGGAAGTCGACTGTGTTTTTTTATGTGTGTTACCTCATAACCTTCTGGGTGAACTGATTTCGATGATTCTTTTTTTATTTGAAAGCTGGTGCTTCACATTCACATTTTTATTTTTAGTTATTGTTGAAAACAACTTCGCCATAATGTTCACTTTATATCGAAATTATAACATAAAACGTAATTTTCGCGCATTGGACTTTGTGGGATATGAAAATTTGTGTTTATTACATGATTTATTGTGATAACTCACACTTTTTATTTACTTTTCAGTTAATTCTGGCTATTAAATATAGTGATACGTGAACGACACAGTATTTGAAATGGCAATTTTATAAAATATATGAAATTGTTACGAAGCAAAATATAAGGAATTAAATTTTAAAACAGTGTAATTACTTACCATTTGTATAAAAACTAACAAAAAACTTTCTATTGTACCCACTTAATTTTTTGTAAAATTTCTAGTTGCCTCTTACACTCACGCGGCGAAGGATATAAGACTAAAGTATGTGACGTAAACGCGACGCGAGGTGGAAACTCGTCATTTGAAGTAAATTCTGTTAATTTAAAGAAGCGTAATTTAATAACGAAACTAATTCTAATAAAATTTTAGTTTTATAGTTCATCTAAATAACATTTAAAAAATAATTGTTATGAGCACAATAACTATGATTCTGACTAAACGTAGTGTAGTGATCATATACTCTTTGGTTCTGAGGGGTCCTTTCTAAATATTACCATACTCTTTGGAGCGTTCTACAAAGTTGACCTTGGATTGCCTCATGTGTACTTCAAAGGCTTGACAGATTAAATACGTAGGTCACTCATAAAGTTTTGAGATACTCGAAATTTAAAAATGGAACGCATCCGTGTATATGTTTCTAAAATAAAAAAATAAATATACATGTATGAATTATTACAAACTTGAAGAGCGCTTTATCCTAGGACAAGTTTATTTAAAACTTAAATGAATAAGGTCCACATACTCTGTAATACATGTACTTTTACCAATAAAATATTATTATTATTATGTTTCTAAAAAGCAAATTTATTTAAAATAGAGCTCCATGAGCCAATTGCTCGATATTGAAAAAAAAAACATAGTTCTATTAATTTTCCTGCAACGCTTCCCGCGCTTTTCATTTAAAACAATGGATCTTAACCGTGAACATTTGCGCGTTATGATATATTATGATTCTAAATTTGGTTTAACCGAACCTTTAAGTTTACACGGGTTATAATCATGAAGCAAATACAAAGAGGACACGTTGTAATTAAATTTCACTATGTAACAACGCGTGACAATTTGCGGGGTGAGGGGATGCAAAGCCCCGCCCATTTTACACTATCTACATCTATTGATAAATAGTAAAACTACTCGAATCGTTCCATATCGATGTTCAATGTTGTTTAGCTACGTTGACGGTAGATGGCGGCCTGTCCACAAAATGTAATAAACTATAAAAGTAATATTTTGGCGATTAAAATTTCTTTGTCTGAATGCAAAACAAATTTCAGCACCTTCGCATGATTATTTTACCAATACTGAGCTCTACGTACTACCACTATGATGACGTCAGGACCTACGTAGAATCACAGTGCACAGTTGCGTATGCCGTGTCCTCTTTGTATTTGCTTCATGGTTATAATCAGCATTAGGGCACTCAACTTCATCACGCGCAACAATTTTTAGGTGGTTTGTTGAATTCAAAAGGGGTAAAATTAATCTTAAAGATGACCAAAGCAACTACTGACTACTGAAATGTTGGTGGGAGAAGACCCACGAATTACATATACGGACATCGAAAATATTGTAGGCATTAGTTCGGGGAGTATTCATACCATCCTACATCAACATCTTAAAGTGAGGAAGTTTTGTTGTCTATGGATCCCTCGTTTGCTCTCCGAAAGCGAAAATCAGACTCGTGTGGATTGGTGCCATGAAATGCGTCTCCGTTTTGAAAACGGGGCATCCAGGCGTTTCAGAAATCGTTACTGGCGACGAGACATGGATCTATTAATATGATCCGGAAAATAAAAGGCAATCATCCGTATGGGTTTACTCAGAAGGATAGTTACCGACAAGGTTGCAAAGAACTCGCAACGTCGGCAAAAAATGGTAGCTAGGTTTTTTTCGCGGAGATGACATTTGTCGACGTCAATGCTGGAAAGTTGTATATCAGTCAACTCTGAATGGTATACTACAGTTGCATTACAGAAAGCTTTTCAAACTGTGGGTGAGAGAAGACCAAAAACCGGGCTTCGGGGAATCATGCTGTATCACGATAACGCCTTTTCACATACCTCCCTTAAAACAAAAGCATTTATTGAGGAATTTGGTGTTGAAACTCTAAGTCACCCACCCTACAGCGCTGACTTAGTTCCTTGTGATTTGTTTTTGTTCACAAAAATTAAAGAAAACATTAAAGGCAAGTTTTTTTCAAGCGCCGATGAAGCCGTGGCTGCCTACGAAGAAGCTATTTCTGACCTGTCAGATCAAGACTGGCAAAAGTGTTTTCAGAGTTGGTTTAGGCGAATGGAACTTTGTATAGAGCATGATGGAGAATATTTTGAAAAGATGTAAAATAAATATTAATAGTATCTTAAATACTTTTTGTATATCTCAAAACTTATTGAGTGACCTACGTACAAAAAACTGCACCCAAATCTGTTCACCCGTTTAATAGCTACAGTGCCACAGACACACACATAACGGTGAAACTTATAACACCCCTCTTTTTGCATCGTGGTTAATAAAGAAGAAGAGAGATGTAAATATTACAAATTTTATAATAATTATGAAATCGACTACTGCTACTTACTAAATACTGAAACTACTAAAGTATACTACAATGTACATGTAATGTTTGCTAATTATGAGTATGTTGTGTCCCTTTGAAAGCTGTAAATAAAAATGGTGAATTATATAGGGTTTTTCAACAAGAACTTTGTTTTCTAAAACAAAATAAAACAGAGTTTAGATGAAGATGATTCAAATTTTTATTGTATTACGAAGAGAAAAGTTTGGCAATTATGAATGAAAAATGATATCTGGCAAATGTCCACCACGACCACGCTGACAGATGTCGATTCTTTCATCAAAGTTTTTAATCACTTTTTGGCAAAATGGCGGGTCTATTTCGCTAATCACGTCACGGATTTTGAGTTTTAAGGCCGCGATCGATTCGATTGGCTCCGTATAGACTCTGTCCTTAACATAGCCCCACAAAAAATAATCCAGTGGTGTTAAATCACACGATCTGGCTGGCCATTTAACAGCTGAATTTCGTGAAATTATGCGATCGGGAAATTTGGTTTGCAATAAATTGATCGTTTCGTTGGCTGTGTGACATGTGGCACCGTCCTGTTGAAACCACATGTTTGTGATATCGATGTCATCAATAATAGGCCAAAATTGAGATGTTAACATCTTGCGATAGCGTGATCCATTGACCGTTACCGCATTTCCAACCTCATCTTCGAAAAAAAACGGCCCAATCACGCCTCCAGACCACATAGCGCACCATACAGTGACACGTTGAGCATGCAAAGGCTTCTCAATAATCGCTTTAGGATTTTCAGAAGCCCAAATGCGGCAATTTTGCTTGTTGACGTACCCTGACAAGTGAAAATGAGCTTCGTCTGAAAAAATGATTTTTTCAGAAAAACCAGCGGGCTGTTCCTGAATGAATTGAGCGAATCTACGGCGATGTGAATGGTCGGTCAGCTTCAATTCCTGCACCAGTTGAACCTTGTAAGGCTTCAAAGCCAAATCCTTACGCAAAATTCGCCATGTGGTGGTTTTGTTTTGTTGAGAACAATTGTTGAGAACGTCGAGGAATTGACAAATTTAGATCTTCTTCAACACTGTGGCTCACGGCTGCGATGTTTTCGGTTGAACGACCCGGTCGAACACGCGTTGGTGTTGGCGCATTTTGTACCGAGCCTGTCGATTCAAATTTAGCGACCAAATTCTTAATAGCGGTCTCAGAAGGACGATTATGTTGTCCGAAAATATCACGAATTTTACGAAAAGTAACTTTAACAGAACCACCATTTTCATAGTGGATTTTAATTATTTTAATGCGATTTTCGAGCGAAATTGAATTCATTGTAGCAATTGCCAAAGCATCTACTACGAACAGGTCAAAAAACTAAATGTCAAAACTGTCGTGTTTTTGGTGTTTTGATTGAAAAACAAAGTTCTTGTTGAAAAACCCGGTATATTTACATTTTTGTAAATTGAAAATACGAATTTTGTATTTTTTTCTAAAATATTTAAACTATTACAAACTGTGATTCATCCACCGGTACTTTGTTAAAAATAACTTATATTAAAATATAAAAATTATGTTCTTGCAGGTTTGAGCGGCGCTCGTTCAACCGCGACTCGTTCATGTCGGACATGAAGAGGGAGCGAGACGACAGATTCAACAGCGACAAACCGCGGGAAAGGTGATAGATAGCTCTGCTTTAATGTGAATTTTATTCTAATAATAATTAGCCATTTATTAGATTAATAAATTAATTTTAACTTTTACCGTTTGCAATTCTAAAATAGCAAACCTCTTCTGGAGTTTATTTATTTCGTCTTTATTATACAACTTATAATAAGGGATATAAAGGGCGGACTAAATACCTTATGGCATTCTCTACCCAATCAACTCTGGACGATTTAAGAACTGTGGCAGGTGTCAACAATATACTTCATCAAATTAATACTTCAGTGCAAAAAAAATGAATATAGTTAATAAAATATACGTACTTAATATCTACCATATCAGGGTTTCCCAATTTTTATGACTAGGGATTTTTTCGTAGTTACCTGGGACCACAAGGTGAAAGAAATAACTGTGTTAATCTAACAATAAATTATAATCACAACTTTTAACATAATTATATAATAAACTGTATCGTCAACATGCACAGTACAAATAGGGAAAACTCGTTAATAATGGTGTATCGTTATAACATTATATTAATTGGTTAGTTGGAATTTTTTTATTAATGGGAAAATATTTGAAAAGAATTGTATACGCAAGTAGGTACAATAATTTTAAAATCACATTTATAACTAGCGACCCGCCTTCTCCTGAGTGGGAGCTATTAATGTGTCACTATTTAGACTTAAGAAAATCATTAAAGATCATTCATCTTATCGATATTGCTATTTTAAGAAAAAAATATAATTTTAATAAACTTCGTAAATATAAGAAATCATTATATCTTTATGTATTTCATCCGCATGTAGCAACGAACGTGTGCACAGAGAAGACAGAGATAACCGGAGATCGGGAGGCCGTTACTCACATCGACGCTATGACAAAGAGGAGGAGCCCGAGTGGTTAGCATACCTTCCATTGTTTTTCTCCGCTAAATAATAAATAATTGGTAAAATAATAACACCGTGTAATGACGGTGTAACAGTATCCACTACTCCATATCGTCCCATGTCGTAAGAGACGACAGAGGGAAATTTAAACAGGTGATGGGCAGCAGTAGCTTCCTGATAACAATTCAAAACGGTTGCCAATCCGCCTGCTAAACGTGGCAACTATGGCAAAATCCCCCCTTTGAGGCAACTATAGGTTTATGTTCAGCATTGACCCTAGTGCAGGCATTTAGGCAGGCAAGTGTAAGGATGGGCGTTTGGAGACGAAATAAAAGATATTAATCGTATCATACTCTGTAATCTGCGACTAAATACAATAATATTCATACTTAACACTAATTTGGTTACATGTATGTTGTATATGTTTATCTATTACTATAATATAATATGTACTACTACACTACATACTACTGAGGACACTAACTTATTCAGTAGTGTTAAGTGTAATATGGCTATCTAATGTTAACACAGTTTAAAGCAATATGAAGTATGGGAGCATCAAGAAGAGGCGTAGCGTAGACTAATACAGATGTGGGTGAAGTCGCATCAGCGAGGCCCCTTTTCTTTCGTTTCCAAGATCTACCCAATACGTCTATTCTACCAAACATGCTTTGGCACGACATACCTACTCATAGCTATTAATTTCTGACAAGTCTCGTATTCCGTGAATCTAACGGTCGTGGTCCTAAGAGGGGCTCCTTACAAGGCTCCAAACGAACACGCATTTAAATTTTTGACTTTCTTTTTCGAGCGTAAATGTGATCAAATTAATTAGTCATCTGTGGTGACCTCTAGCATCGCATTTTAAGGGGCCTAGCGAGGTCCTAACGTGGTAGAGCCATGCTGCAGCTATATTAATAGTATAGTTGTAACACGAATGGGTCGGCTCGACCGGGGAAGGACCACGCTCTCACAGAAAACTAGCGTAAAATAGCAACTTTTCTGTGTTTTTTTTATGATGAGTGTAGAGAACCGGAGACCCTTTTTACTAGAAAAGAGGCATTCCATCTTAGTCCTCACGGGTGACAACGCATCTGCATTTTGATTCGCAAACGAGGATAAATGTGGATGTCTATGGGTCACAACAACCACTTACCATCAGGTGGACGGTGTGCTCCTTTGTCATCCTATACTATAAAAAAGGCCTAGCTACGCCACTGGCATCAAAGGTGCCCAAACTCAAAACTGGGATCAAATAGAACCTACTGTAGCAAACAGACTCAAATATTTAAGAGTGTTGTGTCTCAAATATATAAGACCTAGCTGTGTGCCCCGGCTTCGCACTGTTGATCTCTGGATCTCGACAACAGCGCCACCTGCCGGGTTCAATTGTGAATCTAAACTATTGTCGAATCAACTTTATCACACACACCACATTTTATCGAAATTACGAGGAGTTCAGTCACATACACACGGAAAACCGCATCAAAAATCCGTTGCGTAGTTTAAAAGAGCTAAGAGTACAGACGGCGCGAAGCGACATTGTTTTATACTATGTAGAGAAGTGAGAAATATTTAACTATGAATCATTAGCGTACTGCAACATAGCTCGTGCGTAAAATAGCAGCTTAGGCTGGACTCACACATCTGGAATGAATCTCTGAATTCATAATCCAAATTCGTATAATTAAGAAAGCGCAGAGTTACATACAATTTAACTATTCTCCTCCACACACATTACAGATTATGATTTTCTCAGATCGTTCTGTAAGAATGGACTTTCCCTTACTCTGATCACATTAAGAGGATTAATCCAGTGTATTCGTTTGCGTCTCTCTTTTATTATTATTTAAAGCTAAAAGTAGTGCGACGAGACGCGTGACTAAGCCGAGAAACACGAAACGAATGATTTATCTGAATTTTTAAGATATGTGTGAGGCTGCTTGCTGGAATTCAAATTATAAATTCCAACTCTGAATTCAGAGAGGTATTCCGGATATGTGAGTCTAGCCTTAGTGTTGCTGTGTTTTGTATGGTGAGTAGAGAATCGGAGATGGAGACCCTTTTTACTGGAAACGAGGCATTCCATCTTAGTCCTCGAGGTGACAATGCATTCTTAATCGAGAATAGATGTAGATGTCTATTAACCATGGACCCTCAGCATCCATTTACATGACAAAAAATGCTGGATAGGATCTTATGGCTCCCAGATACATATGTTTTCTAACGTCACATGAACCGTATGCAGCACTCAGTTTTTCTTTCTTTGTTTAAGTAGATAGTATAAAGTGTTTTTGTTTTGATTTTGTAGGTTCAGTGGAGGTCCGACGTCACAGCTGGAGACGATCGAGCTGCGAGGTTTCGATGATCCGCCAAAGAAGAACGGGAACGCTACCAGCAAGGAAACAGAGGTCCGTTTTCTATATGTTTTCCCTCAGGTTGATTTTGGCCAAAAAAGTCACTTGCGAGTTGCTATTGCATTTGTTTATAATTCATTGTCGGTGGATTGCTTAGTTAAAGCTACAAAACTTAAATGTTTAAACCATACTTTATGGTGTATGTGTGACAGTAATAGATGAAAAGAAATACTGTATGGAATCACGACTACTATTACAACATAAACTGAGATAGTCTTGTTTATCGTGGAACAATAAGTTCACTGCTGAACATAGTTCTCATCCAAGGAATGCCACACAGCACGATTTTAAGTCACCTGCATCTATCGACTCCCTGCATGTCTTATCAGATCTTAAATTTACTTATGAGTAATTAATTATTACGTTATTTTTGTTGGGTTGAACAAAGATTTCCATGTATATTACTAGGTGGACACTACGGTTCTAATACATTGTGCTCTAAGCTAGCAGGTCACCCGTCCGAGCCCGAGCCCTCGAGTTCCACAATGCCCCCGGCTTCACTAGGGTGTTTTGTGAATCGTGATAATAGTGCCACCTGCCGAGTTTAACTGTGAATCTAAACGATCCAGGGACCCTAACACAAAAAATTTCATCAAAATGCGACAAGCACACGTAGAGGAGAGTATATACAATAACATGGATATGCAGGTGGCTCGCACATCAAGCACAGTCCTCTGTTTTGTGGCAATCTACTGTGAAGGCCTATGTTCAGCAGTGGATTTGTGGAGGGTTGTAATGCTGATGATGAATAATAGTTGTTAGTTGATACCAGTGGAGCACAATTGGATTAATTGGACATAGTTATGCAAAAATTTTTGACCCATAGTCTGGTGAAAAATGAGTTATGTATCGGTTCTAAAATAACTTTTAGGATTTATTCTTTTATAGAGTAAAAGAGATTCCAACAAATTCATTGTCACTGAACGGAGGTAAATCTTTTTATTTAAAAAAAAATCGGTTACCCCCGCACTAAGGAACTTCTTGTAGAAGACTTGAAATGTGAATCTTTTATAAATAGCCTTTTGAGCGTTAGATGTTTATTGCGCAACAAGTTGAAATTTAAAATGAAAGTACATTTGTTGCACAGAAGTGGAGCGTTAGCGAAGACGGCACCGGCGGGGCCACCACACGTGCCGAAGCTGAAGCGGAAGCGGAGCCGCCCGCGCCCGCGCCCGCGCACCCCGACTCCACCGCCGCCACTGTAAGCCATTTCACAACTGTTACACCGCTTTAACTGGACACCGATGGAAATTGCTTACACACTATATAATATGTAAAACGCTGGATGGAGGCGGTTCCGCCAGCGATTATATTATACTAACTGTAGGTTAAATTCTGACTTACCTTGATTCTGGATATGAATTCTGACATGAAAATATTACTATTATTTTATATAATATATTGCATATACAAGCGACTGCTTCACTCGAAAAATACCTGACAAGTCATTGCATGTTCTGAATTCTATAATAAAATTTCTGAAGAGCGACCCACATCCAGACATTTTTAAGACTAAGAAAAAATTTATACTATCATTATATAATACTACTAGTATCCGCCCCGGTTTCGCACGGTTGATTTTTGGATACCCACAACAGCGCCACAAAGTCAAAGAGTCCTCCAATTGTCCACAAAAAAATTCATCACAATTGGTACAGCTATTTAGAAGTTTAACAACAAACACGTACAAAAAAAAAATATATGCTAACAATATTTATGTCAAAGCACCAACAAGGTGATACACAAAACCCAACCATTAGTTTTGGGTTAATTTCAAATTATATATAACTCTTCAGTATTGTCTCGTAACTAAATCATGGCATTAGGTATAGATAGTTAAAAAGCCAGTACAATTACAGGTAGTCTGCAAGCACAGTCTGTGCAGAAGTCCGAAACTGGTACTGTCCTTTACTTGTCAGTAGAAATAGGTTTTGTCACTAATTAAGTGCACTGCTCACAATTACTGTTGTGTTCTGATTTGTAGAAAAACAGTATAATAGCAGGGCTGTAAAGCATTTTTATTTCAAAAATAGTACTGAAATTTCTCAAATAAAACAACAGTAAAAAAAATATATTAATAAATATTATTTAAAATGTATTTAATAAATATAGTATATTATTTCTATTCTATTTCATTTTATTCCTTAAGGGTGAAAACACATATCTGGTTTTCTTTGTTTGAGGATTGGTTGCTTCTGCTGCGGAACTAGACAGTTAGCTTATTTGTCAAGGCTCAATTCTCGGCCCCTTTCTGTTTCTTGTATACATTAATGACTTACCTTACATAGTAGGGGATAACCATGATATAATTTGCAGATGACACTTCTTTAATTTTCAAATTAAGTCGACAATTACTAAAATATGACGAAGTAAATAATGCTATATCTAAATTAGTAAATTGGTTCGATGTTAATAATTTGCATTTAAATGGCACTAAAACAAAATGTATGAAATTCGTGACTCCAAATGTCAAACAATTAAATACTAATGTAATTTTAAATGGGGAGAAACTGAGTCTTGTAGATACCACCATTTTTCTTGGAATCACACTAGACGCGAAGCTTCAATGGAGCCCCCATATATCAAAACTAGCAAGCAGACTTAGTTCTGCAGCATATGCTGTAAAAAAGATTAGAAGTCTAACCAGTGTTGAAACAGCTAGACTAGTTTACTTCAGCTACTTCCATAGCATAATGTCGTATGGTATTTTGCTATGGGGACACGCAGCTGACACTGAAATTATATTTGTTTTGCAAAAGAGGGCCATAAGAGCAATTTATGATTTAAAGCCTAAAGAGTCGCTGCGACAAAAATTTAAGGAAATTAATATATTAACTTTGGCCTCTCAATACATTTATGAAAATGTAATGTACGTACATAAAAATAAAAGTAGTTTTACAAAAATAAGTGATATTCATTCTGTAAATACTAGGAACAGACACAAGCTAGTAGTACCAGTTACTCGGCTCCATCGAGTCAGTAATTCATTCTTGGGGCGATGTATACGCTTTTACAACAAAATTCCAGAAAATATACAAAGTTTGACCTGTTCAAAGTTCAAAAACTTTATTAAACTAAGTTTGTATAAAAAGGGTTATTATAATATTAAGGAATTTATGGATGATAATAACCCCTGGAAATGAGGTGATCGCTACCAAGCTATTTCTAATTTGTTGTGTTGTTAATTTGTGTAACATCATGATTGTAAGCTGTTATTTTTAAAAAAAAAAGTCCCGCTGGGTTTCTTGCTGGTTCTTCCCAGGACAGAGGTTTTTTCCGAACCAGTGGTAATCAAACAAAAGAGTGACTTTCAATAAGTATTATTTATAATCTATATTGAATAAAAAAGTTTCTGTTTCTGTTTCTGTTTCTGTTTCTGTCATAGTATGATAAAAAGAAATCTGATTTATAATTCTAATAAACTAAGAAAATATCAAAGAAATAATGCTTTTAATTCCTAATGTACTAGAAAGCATTGGTATTACTATGTATGACTAAAATAAGCCTTTTTATTACAGGACAAGGATTCAGGTGTGGATTCAAAGATTGAAGAGACCCCGCAGAGTAATGAGCAGCCTGCCAGCCAGCATGACTTTAACCTTGAAGAGTTCCTCAAATTTGACTCTATTCCAGACGTGCTTACAGTAAGTTTGCTGCACATAAGTAAAAATACTAAGGTAGAAAGTTTATTTGATTTATATATCCATTACTTCTACAGCCTATAAAAATTCCATTGCTGAACGTAGTCCTTCCCCATAGATTGTCTTATAGGAGGAATATTTGCGATAGTTGCCACTCATGGCAGTAAGCATGGTTTATATGTGGTAGAGCCATGCTGCAGCTTTATTAGTATTATAGTTGTAGCACGAATGGGTCGGCTCGACCGGGGAAGGACCACGCTCTCACAGAAAACCAGCGTAAAATTGCAGCTTAACGATGCTGTATTTCGTATGGTGAGTGTAGAGAACCGGAGACCCTTTTTACTGGCAAAGAGGCATTCCATCTTAGTCCTCACGGGTGACAACGCATCTGCATCTTGAGTCTTTATTGAGGATAGATGTAGATGTCTATGGGTCACAGTAACCACTTACCATCAGGTGGGCTATGTGCTCGTTTGTCACCCTATCCTATAAAAAAAAAAGCAGTAGTTGCTAGTAAATACCGTAGAATTTGATTCTTTAATCTGTTATTATTAGGATGACTGCTGCCATTTATATTGTGTTTTTTCTCTGTCGCCTCCTATTCATAGGACAATATCGTGTAGCGAACTTTCATATAATTTTATTCAGAAGTTAAGTGCTCGTCGTTAATTTCATAATATGTACCCTTATTGGATCCTCGCTGAAATTTTTAATTCCAATATTAAGTACTAATCACTTGATCTAGGGAGAAGGAAAACATAATAAAGCCTGTGTACGTATGAGGACTTGTGGAGTCCGTCAAAATGCACTGAAGCTGTGCGAAGGACTAAAATTTCTCTATAACACTAAGAGCAGTGGGATGTTTATATGTGGCAGTGCCACACTGCATTATAGTTGTATCACGAATGGATCGACTACGCTCTCACAGATTACCGGCGTAAAATAGCAGTTCAATTCTGCCGTGTTTCGTATATATGACTGTAGATAACTATAGACCATTTTTACTGGATACTCCAGAGACATTCCGTCTTAGTCAGGGGTGTACAACGCATATGCAATTAGAATCTTAAGTTGAAAGCGCCAGGGTAATCCGCGAAATTCAAATTTTCTTACGTTTTTTGCAATATGTAGGTCAGTGTCAGGTTGTATGTTTAACAAAATATGATTCGCGGCTGTAACGAGTATGTATTTATAGAATTTAATCATTATAATCATCAATACAACCCTCTAGGTTCGTATAATCCCATTGTATGGCTATTTCCAGAAAAACTCATTCTAAGGAATTATATGAACTTGGAGGGTTGTATTGGTGATTTTAATGATAATAATTCTGTAAACACATACTCGTTACGGTCGCGAATCATATTTTGTTAAACACACATCCTGACTCTGACCTGCAAATTCCAAAAAACGTAAGAAAATTTGAATTTCGCATGCCACCCTGGAGCTTTCACCTTAATGAAGGGTAAATGTAGATGTCTATGGGTCTCTGTATCCATTTACCATCGGGTGGTCTGTGTGTCCGTTAGTCACCCATATTCTTTAATGGAAACTTATGTAGGCTCTAACTTTGTTTAAATGATTTTAAATGTATGATAATGAATTTAAAATGTATGGGTGAGTTGAATTGATGGTGTGACTGCACAGAACGGTGGTGGCGCGGCGGAAGGCGGCAGCCAGCAGCACAGCCGCTTCAGCCAGTGGTTCCGCCGCGACAGCCCCGACGCGCACCACTACGACGCCATGCTGCACCACGTGCTCGATGGTACCACCACCACACCACACCATACCACAACACACCACACCACACCACACCACAACACACCACAATACACCGCACCACACCGCACCACACCTCGTTACACCACAAGCACCGCATCGTACTACGCCACGCTAATCCCGTGTATATTATTTTGATTCGAGTCTTATGTATACATGCGCAGAGAGTGATTCTGGTGTGGAGTCGCGGCACGGGTTCGCGCCGATCTCGCCGCCTGCTCCGCTCCAGCAGCACCAGCAGCAGCAGCACCAGCCTCACCAGCAGCAGCAAACGCACCAGCCCCAGCAGCCGCACCAGCCGTTCTCGCTACTCGATCTCATGTTCCGCAACAACCACAAGGCGAGAGGTGAATATATTACACCAAACTATAGGCAAGGTCGTCAAACGAGCTATGGAGAAGACTGCTCGGAGTTTCTCTGCATGATGGATTTCGTGATGAAAAGACATTTTAAGTAGAATCCGAGTAACCGATAATAATTTCTTATATTTACGCGAAATTAAATAAAGTCAGTTTTACGTATTTTATAGAGTAACGGATATAGCCCTAGAAGTCAATAACCTGAAGTGCCTACATATAATATATTAGCCCTATAAAGCTCCTTAAGTCAGGGATTTGATTGTTCAATATATTGTTTTAGCTCCGGTTCCAAAAGCTATGGTGGAGAAGTTATTTTAGTCTTTTTGGTTCTCTGATTTTTTTTTCGAGTTTTTGTAGTTGGTTTTTAATTTTAATTCAAAGTTAAATAATTATTCTATGTAAGTTAAATGTAGTACTTTATGGGACTTTCACGATATTTTTTTTACACATTTATGTACATATTTTTTTAAACTGAAGGAAACTATTCAAAGTTCATCTGAGGGCTGAGAGAAAAAGCCTGCTGTAGTTCATATCTGTTATCACTAGGCATGGTGCAAAATCGGTTAATCGAAGAATGGATTCCTTGTTTCAAAAATATTGATTTTTTAAATCAATATTTTACCCTAGACAATCTAGATCATCGAATTCATTAGATTTCGATTCAAATCGCTTAAAAATCGATATTTATTGAAAAGAATCAATATTCCTAATTGTCAGCCCTGAGGACTTAAATGGAATACCTTACAGTTTGTAATTATCTACTGGTTATCTATAACATTCAGGCTGGAACAGAGCAGTATAAACATAGTTATTTAGTAGAAATAAGTAGTTGTTTTTTTTTATAGAATAAGGGAGATAAACGAGCACACAGTCCGTGTGATGCGTAAGTGGATGCTGAAGCCCATAGACATCTAGGTCTACATACATAAACTTGACAAGAAAAAATATCCAGACAAATACTTGTTTCGTTTGGGCTTCGAACTCGTGACGCTCAGGCCAACGTTAAATGTAAATGATATGGTATGTGGTTACAGAAGCAGGCGCGGGTGCGGGTGCAGGTGCGGGAGCAGGGTCAGGGTCGGGGCCAGGGTCGGGGTCGGGGTCGGGCAAGATGCAGAGCCTGGAGGAGCTGGAGGCGCGCCTGCGGCCGCAGCCCGCCGCGCACCACGGCGTCTCCGAGCAAGATCTCACCGCCTTCAAACGACTCGTTAGTACACTATGCAACACAATACAATACAAGATGCAGAGCCTGGAGGAGCTGGAGGAGCTGGAGGAGCTGGAGGCGCGCCTGCGGCCGCAGCCCGCCGCGCACCACGGCGTCTCCGAGCAAGATCTCACCGCCTTCAAACGACTCGTTAGTACACTATGCAACACAATACAATACAAGATGCAGAGCCTGGAGGAGCTGGAGGAGCTGGAGGCGCGCCTGCGGCCGCAGCCCGCCGCGCACCACGGCGTCTCCAAGCAAGATCTCACCGCCTTCAAACGACTCGTTAGTACACTATGCAACACAATACAATACAAGATGCAGAGCCTGGAGGAGCTGGAGGAGCTGGAGGAGCTGGAGGCGCGCCTGCGGCCGCAGCCCGCCGCGCACCACGGCGTCTCCAAGCAAGATCTCACCGCCTTCAAACGACTCGTTAGTACACTATGCAACACAATACAATACAAGATGCAGAGCCTGGAGGAGCTGGAGGAGCTGGAGGAGCTGGAGGCGCGCCTGCGGCCGCAGCCCGCCGCGCACCACGGCGTCTCCGAGCAAGATCTCACCGCCTTCAAACGACTCGTTAGTACACTATGCAACACAATACAATACAAGATGCAGAGCCTGGAGGAGCTGGAGGAGCTGGAGGAGCTGGAGGCGCGCCTGCGGCCGCAGCCCGCCGCGCACCACGGCGTCTCCAAGCAAGATCTCACCGCCTTCAAACGACTCGTTAGTACACTATGCAACACAATACAATACAAGATGCAGAGCCTGGAGGAGCTGGAGGAGCTGGAGGAGCTGGAGGCGCGCCTGCGGCCGCAGCCCGCCGCGCACCACGGCGTCTCCGAGCAAGATCTCACCGCCTTCAAACGACTCGTTAGTACACTATGCAACACAATACAATACAAGATGCAGAGCCTGGAGAAGCTGGAGGAGCTGGAGGAGCTGGAGGCGCGCCTGCGGCCGCAGCCCGCCGCGCACCACGGCGTCTCCAAGCAAGATCTCACCGCCTTCAAACGACTCGTTAGTACACTATGCAACACAATACAATACAAGATGCAGAGCCTGGAGGAGCTGGAGGAGCTGGAGGAGCTGGAGGCGCGCCTGCGGCCGCAGCCCGCCGCGCACCACGGCGTCTCCGAGCAAGATCTCACCGCCTTCAAACGACTCGTTAGTACACTATGCAACACAATACAATACAAGATGCAGAGCCTGGAGGAGCTGGAGGAGCTGGAGGAGCTGGAGGCGCGCCTGCGGCCGCAGCCCGCCGCGCACCACGGCGTCTCCAAGCAAGATCTCACCGCCTTCAAACGACTCGTTAGTACACTATGCAACACAATACAATACAAGATGCAGAGCCTGGAGAAGCTGGAGGAGCTGGAGGAGCTGGAGGCGCGCCTGCGGCCGCAGCCCGCCGCGCACCACGGCGTCTCCGAGCAAGATCTCACCGCCTTCAAACGACTCGTTAGTACACTATGCAACACAATACAATACAAGATGCAGAGCCTGGAGGAGCTGGAGGAGCTGGAGGAGCTGGAGGCGCGCCTGCGGCCGCAGCCCGCCGCGCACCACGGCGTCTCCGAGCAAGATCTCACCGCCTTCAAACGACTCGTTAGTACACTATGCAACACAATACAATACAAGATGCAGAGCCTGGAGGAGCTGGAGGAGCTGGAGGAGCTGGAGGCGCGCCTGCGGCCGCAGCCCGCCGCGCACCACGGCGTCTCCAAGCAAGATCTCACCGCCTTCAAACGACTCGTTAGTACACTATGCAACACAATACAATACAAGATGCAGAGCCTGGAGGAGCTGGAGGAGCTGGAGGAGCTGGAGGCGCGCCTGCGGCCGCAGCCCGCCGCGCACCACGGCGTCTCCGAGCAAGATCTCACCGCCTTCAAACGACTCGTTAGTACACTATGCAACACAATACAATACAAGATGCAGAGCCTGGAGGAGCTGGAGGAGCTGGAGGAGCTGGAGGCGCGCCTGCGGCCGCAGCCCGCCGCGCACCACGGCGTCTCCAAGCAAGATCTCACCGCCTTCAAACGACTCGTTAGTACACTATGCAACACAATACAATACAAGATGCAGAGCCTGGAGGAGCTGGAGGAGCTGGAGGAGCTGGAGGCGCGCCTGCGGCCGCAGCCCGCCGCGCACCACGGCGTCTCCGAGCAAGATCTCACCGCCTTCAAACGACTCGTTAGTACACTATGCAACACAATACAATACAAGATGCAGAGCCTGGAGGAGCTGGAGGAGCTGGAGGAGCTGGAGGCGCGCCTGCGGCCGCAGCCCGCCGCGCACCACGGCGTCTCCAAGCAAGATCTCACCGCCTTCAAACGACTCGTTAGTACACTATGCAACACAATACAATACAAGATGCAGAGCCTGGAGAAGCTGGAGGAGCTGGAGGAGCTGGAGGCGCGCCTGCGGCCGCAGCCCGCCGCGCACCACGGCGTCTCCGAGCAAGATCTCACCGCCTTCAAACGACTCGTTAGTACACTATGCAACACAATACAATACAAGATGCAGAGCCTGGAGGAGCTGGAGGAGCTGGAGGAGCTGGAGGCGCGCCTGCGGCCGCAGCCCGCCGCGCACCACGGCGTCTCCGAGCAAGATCTCACCGCCTTCAAACGACTCGTTAGTACACTATGCAACACAATACAATACAAGATGCAGAGCCTGGAGGAGCTGGAGGAGCTGGAGGAGCTGGAGGCGCGCCTGCGGCCGCAGCCCGCCGCGCACCACGGCGTCTCCAAGCAAGATCTCACCGCCTTCAAACGACTCGTTAGTACACTATGCAACACAATACAATACAAGATGCAGAGCCTGGAGGAGCTGGAGGAGCTGGAGGAGCTGGAGGCGCGCCTGCGGCCGCAGCCCGCCGCGCACCACGGCGTCTCCGAGCAAGATCTCACCGCCTTCAAACGACTCGTTAGTACACTATGCAACACAATACAATACAAGATGCAGAGCCTGGAGGAGCTGGAGGAGCTGGAGGAGCTGGAGGCGCGCCTGCGGCCGCAGCCCGCCGCGCACCACGGCGTCTCCAAGCAAGATCTCACCGCCTTCAAACGACTCGTTAGTACACTATGCAACACAATACAATACAAGATGCAGAGCCTGGAGGAGCTGGAGGAGCTGGAGGAGCTGGAGGCGCGCCTGCGGCCGCAGCCCGCCGCGCACCACGGCGTCTCCGAGCAAGATCTCACCGCCTTCAAACGACTCGTTAGTACACTATGCAACACAATACAATACAAGATGCAGAGCCTGGAGGAGCTGGAGGAGCTGGAGGAGCTGGAGGCGCGCCTGCGGCCGCAGCCCGCCGCGCACCACGGCGTCTCCAAGCAAGATCTCACCGCCTTCAAACGACTCGTTAGTACACTATGCAACACAATACAATACAAGATGCAGAGCCTGGAGGAGCTGGAGGAGCTGGAGGAGCTGGAGGCGCGCCTGCGGCCGCAGCCCGCCGCGCACCACGGCGTCTCCGAGCAAGATCTCACCGCCTTCAAACGACTCGTTAGTACACTATGCAACACAATACAATACAAGATGCAGAGCCTGGAGGAGCTGGAGGAGCTGGAGGAGCTGGAGGCGCGCCTGCGGCCGCAGCCCGCCGCGCACCACGGCGTCTCCGAGCAAGATCTCACCGCCTTCAAACGACTCGTTAGTACACTATGCAACACAATACAATACAAGATGCAGAGCCTGGAGGAGCTGGAGGAGCTGGAGGCGCGCCTGCGGCCGCAGCCCGCCGCGCACCACGGCGTCTCCGAGCAAGATCTCACCGCCTTCAAACGACTCGTTAGTACACTATGCAACACAATACAATACAAGATGCAGAGCCTGGAGGAGCTGGAGGAGCTGGAGGAGCTGGAGGCGCGCCTGCGGCCGCAGCCCGCCGCGCACCACGGCGTCTCCGAGCAAGATCTCACCGCCTTCAAACGACTCGTTAGTACACTATGCAACACAATACAATACAAGATGCAGAGCCTGGAGGAGCTGGAGGAGCTGGAGGCGCGCCTGCGGCCGCAGCCCGCTAAATAAATATGTCTCATTTACAGAGGGTTTCATTAATAGAGGTGAGGTGAGAAGTTTATTTCACTTATAGAGGTGCAATTATTAAATAAAATAACGTATTTTGTAAACATAATACATAAACATCCGGACGATAGCAAAACCAAACTAAAACTGGATGTCACTTTTACACAATTAGCCAAGTGTGGAATTTGCGGGTAGAATAAGAATTAGTAAACAAAACGGTACAAAAAATATAGTCTCAGTAAAAGAGGTAAAATCATGAAGCAAAAATACAAAGAGGAGACGTTGTAATTAAATTTCACTATGTAACAACGCGTGACAATTTGCGGGGTGAGGGGATGCAAAGCCCCGCCCACTTTACACTATCTACATCTACCGATAAATAGTAAAACTACTCGAATCTTTCCATATCGATGTTGCAATGTAGCTTAACTACCTTGACGGTACATGGCGGCATGTCCACAAAATGTTATAAAGTATAAAAATAATATTTTGGCGATTAAAATTTCTTTGTCTGAATGCAAAACAAATTTCAGCACCTTCGTATGATTATTTTACCAATACTGAGCTCTACGAACCTTTATATTTTTAGTACACATGACACAGTGTCGCCATCTAGTGTCGAATATATTTAATTATATTTGAAAGCCGACGCAAAAAGATTTTTCTAGAACTATTTTAATAAATTAGGTGTAAAATTATTTACAAATGAAATGTGATGCCATCCATAACATCAGAGCGTCTATCTGAGTAGTTTTTACACGATAAAACACAACACTTCATCCTTTTCTTAATACTACAAAACTAACAGATTTGCGATTTTTTCAACACATGAGCGCACAGTACGAATGCTGACAGTAAACTAACTAAAGCCACGCCCACTATGATGACGTCAGGACCTACTTAGAATCACAGTGCACAGTTGCTTATGCCGTCTCCCCTTTGTATTAGCTTCATGGGTAAAATATACTTGCTGACTCCATTATACAGGTAATTATGACGATAAAATCGAAAGATCTAATCCCACATATAGAGGTTTGTTTTGTCCCACTAACAGAGGTACTTCAGTGCTAAAATGTCGGGACTTAAGAATGAGTTCCAGCTATGGAGGTTTCTCATTTATCCAGGTCCCACTTATCTAAGTTTTGTAACTGTACTTACAAAACTTCTTAAAAACAGGTTTGAAGCGACCACTGTGTTCATTCGCTTACTTGCAACTACCATACCGCATACTTGACCATGTAATAGCACTATGAGATACCCCATATCGTTCTGTTGGTGTCGTAAGAGGCAACAGAGAGAAATAAACCATAAAATAGCAGCAGCGTATTTCTGATAACAGCCCCCTTGCCAAGCCTGTTCACTGTAGTAAATATCCTCTTATAAGATCCCCCAATTTGTAGGGAAGGCCTATGTTCAGCAATTGACTTTTGATAGGCAAGTAATGGTAATAGTATTTGTTATCTAGCAACCCACCTATGCTCTGTTTGAGTTGAATCTATTCATGTAGTATAATTTAGTTTAGATAATGTAATATAATCATTAACCATTTACTGTATAAATTTATCTATTTCATTATGTATTTTTCGGTAGTTTTCTAATAAAGGGAGCATCCACGATTTTTTTCCACCAGGATGCCTCTTTTTTTTAGATGAAACATTTGACAGATTTCATAGCAAGAGAAAGTAATTTGATATAAAAGTGTAGAAATTAATGTTTCTTTATGGAATATTATTTATTTTTATATTAATTAAATTAGAAGTGGATAAACCATACTACGGATATTCCTAAAAGAAGAACAATTTAAAAACTTAGTGCATTGTTTTGTTTATATAACAATATACATACAATGAGTCCCAATCAGCGACACCTGGTGAACTTGAGATTATTAGCCCTCATGTGTTACTTTGTACGAACAGCCCAACTCAAAAGTATATTAAGTTCTAGATAAGTAATGCCCAAATATTCGAATGATACTCAATTTTAAGACGCTGTTAAGTCTCAGACTGTCTCTATCTCTTTAGGTCAGTGACTGCGACACCACGAGACGTAACGGCATTTTAAAATTGAGTAGTGTTTTCGCCATAAGTTCCATAAGTGAATGTGAAATTTTTGAGAGAAAAAAGTTATTAAACTGTAGGATGATGTGGTAGTTGTATGATGTTGTGTGATGCGGTACGTTGCAGCTGGCGCAGGTGTCCGGCGGGCAGGCCGTGGCCGCGGAGCCGCGCGCCCCCGCCCCCCACCAGCAGCCGCCCCACCACCAGCCGCACCTCCAGCCCCACCAGCAACAGCACCAGCAGCCGCAGCCCATGAGCCTGCTGCAGGTAATTATACCCCCTGAGGACGTTTTGGTGGGAACTTTTTTTTGCTTGCATATGCTTCTGCTATATTAGTAGTATAGTTGTAGCACGAATGGGTCGGCTCGACCGGGAAAGGACCACGCTCTCACAGAATACCAGCGTAAAACAACAGCTCAACACTGCTGTGTTACGTATGGTGAGTAAGGAGAACCGGAGACTTTTACTAGAAACAAGGTATTAGATTTTAGTCGTCAGAGGTGACATCGCCTCTATATTTTAATTCGTAATCAAGAATAGATATAGATATCTATGGGCCACAGCCACCACTTACCATTAGGTGAATTGCATGCTCGTTTGTCACCTTTATCCTCTAAAGAAACACTTAACCGCCAGTGGATTGCTGCTTTCTCTCTTTAAAATAAAAGTTATCTCTACATTAGAATTGTCTCCTATATAGTGGAAGAAATTTACATACTCAAATTGCATACAAATACTTATTCCGTGTGAGATTTTACGCAAAGTTTTCAACACCGCAACGCATTGCTAAGCCATTCCGCCACGGAGACGTTAAAAGCTCCTGTATTATTGTTTAAATAATGATTCGAACTAAATTTTAATATTTTAAAGTGGTGCGATTTTACGTATTAAATGTGTTCACGTATGAACAATCGGTGAAAACGGATAAACAAGTGCTCCGATAGCGATGTGAACCTCAAGATAATGTGTCTGCTTAGGCGCCTTGAGATGTTATCGCCATCGACTGTCTGCTGGCTCAAGCTGCCGTCAATATCTCACAAAAACTTCACAATGTGACGCAACAACTCAATATGAAGAAGTATACTATAAAAGATAATTTCTTATTACTTGGCAGAAGTACGAGTCCATTTCCAAAGAAAGAAAGAACACTTGACATTGGTAGAATTCGTTACTACATACATTAAAAAAAAAACGAGAACACTGCAAGTGTACCTCGTACAAGAATGAAAACTTAGCTACATTGTCACCTCTGACGACTACTACCATGGAATGCCTCAGTATAAAGGGTCTCCAGTTCTCTACGCTTACACCGCCACTACACTTGAAGACGGTCTTTACTTTTTTAAAGTTTAATTATTGTGTTCTGCCATACATAACTTTACAGAGTAGCTACGATTTGTCTTGTATAAACTGCAGTACACAATAAAGTTCTCGCTTTCTAAAAATTGTACTCTGTTTAGCTATTTAAGTGTTTGATGTCACATTTCTGTTCATTTGCAGATGCTGAGTAAAAGCATGGAGCAGCAACAACAACAGCAGCAGCAACAACAGCAGCAAAAGGTGCAGCAGCAGCAGCAGCAGCAGCAGCAGCAGCAGCCCCCGCACATTCCCCAGGAGCTCCTATACAAGCTCCTGCAAGTGCAACAGGTATTTAAGTACTGTATTTATTGAGAGCTCTCCGGTCATGTCTGATTGCTTGTGATTTTTGTTACGCTAAGACAGTGCGATTTACTGTCTACGGCTTTATCAGTAATTACCGCCAGGTGGGATATTAGTCAAGCACTAGTAATTTTTTTTATAGAATAAGGGTGACAATCGTGCACACAGTCCACCTTATGGTAAGTGGATACTGTGGCCCATAGACACCTACATTTATCCTGGATTAAGAATCAAGATGCAGATACTTTGCCATCTCTAAGGACTAAGATGGAATGCCCTGTTTGTAGTAAAAAGAGTTGCCAGTTCGCTGCACTCGCCATAGAAAAGCAGTTATTAAGCAGTTAATGCTGCTGTTTTATAACAATATTCTGTGGGAGCGTGGTCCTATTCCTACCCAAATGGAACCGACCCAATTTTTTTAAATACTAGCAATGATATTAATGTCACTAATATTCCTTTTAACCACTCCTGGTAAGTTTAAAATGCTTGTGTTAGGAGTGGTTCACGACAGTAGTCGAATAGCGGAATCGAATCCACGACCTTTTGAATTCGCGGTCTGCACCTTGACCATTAGGCTACTGTCGCTTCAAAATTATGTAATTGTGTATACGCAGCGGCAGCAGCAGCAGCAGCAACACCAACAACAGCAGCAGCAGCAGCAAGTGGGCGAGCTCAGTGCAGCGCTGGGCGTGGGACACTCGGCCGCTGACCGCGAGCTGCTGCAACGTCCAGAAGCGCAAGCGATCATACACGGTCACTACCATTACCATTACCAATACCATATCAGTCCACCGTTATACATAGGCCTTCTGCATAGATTGCCTCTATATATCCTCCATATTTGGCTTGGCAAGCGGGTTGGAAATAGCAGTTTTTTTATATTATTTTGAATTGTTATCAGGAAGTGCTTACTGTGACTCATGAGTGCATCAAAAGTAAAAAAAAAAATATGAAATAAAAATCTGAAAAAATTAAAGAATACGACACACTGAGACCTTGTTTTGTGTATGTACATACACTACAAAATAATTGAATCGTAACTTTTCAATGTGATGACATAAGACCATCTACGTAACAAATCAGTCCACCTTAGTTCCAACTAGTGACATTTGGTTCGTGTAAGATTATTAGATTTCATTTTCTTCTATCGCCTCTTGCGACGTTCACTGCACGATATGGGCTGGTGGATATTCTTACACTGCCACCACAGTTTATGTGACAGCATCCTAAGTTAAAACACACCGTAACTTCAAGTATTCAATACTATAACATATGCTCGCTTGTTACTAACAAATTTATTAACAGGACATTTGAAGAATAGATAGCTACCTCTTAGCTGCCTATTATTTTTACTTCCTAGACTCTATGTTTTCCTACGTTCTTGGTTCAATAACCCTACTCCATTTCGGTACTGCGTCTACGCATCGCCTGATTTACTCGTACCATTTATTAACGAAGCCACTATTTGGTTTTGTGTTTTATAACCGACCTGTCATCGATTTGGAAATGGGTTGACAACAGGCCGGCCTGTTCTACTTTAATCAGGATGTTATGAATCTTATATTATATTTTTTATATTATAAGATATATTATTGTGTAAAATAACTATATATTTGTGTTAATTAAATTTAAATTTACGGCCTCTATACGTGCCATTGCTGGGCACAGGCTTCTTCTCATTTCTGAGACGTTTTTAGGGCAAGAAAATGTCCCCCGCGCTGCCCCAATGTGTGTTGGCGAACTTCACATATCTTCAAAATATTTTTTTTTCTTATATCTCAGACACTCCGATAAATTAGCACTTAAAATCGCAATGAACAATTTCATTGGTGCCGGCGGGGATGGAACCCGGGTTGCTCGCATACTGTGAAATTTACAGCTAGCGATTAGCCCCTGAGCTACTACGGCGGCTTTTGCGTATATTTGTGTATATGTTTATATATATGTGTGTGGAGCCGTGGTAGCTCAGTTGGTTGGCGCTCGCTGTAAATTTCACAGTACGCGAGCTACCCAGGTGCGATCTCCGCCGGCACCAATTAAATTTTTAATTGCAATTTTAAGTGCTGATTTACCACGTGCTCGGCGGTGAAGGAAAACATCGTGAGGAAACCTGCATGTCTGAGAAATAAGAAAAAAAATTCGAAGACATGTGAAGTTCGCCAACACGCATTGAGGCAGCGTGGTGTGTACATTTCCTTGCCCTAAAACACTCTCAGAAATGAGGGGAGGCCTGTGCCCAACAGTGGGACGTATATAGGCTGTAACTTTTGTGTCTGCATTCTATGTATATATAGGTTGACTCAAAACTCAACGTGTAGTGGATACCGGGTGAGAGGTCAACAATGTCTCTTAGGACATATTTTTGCAAATGTTAAAAATCGATACCATAGATCACATCTTTAGTTTTTTTTTTTATCTATCTTTATTTAAAAAGGCTTTTATCCTACAAGGATATGTCAGCCTTATCGTAATCTAGCTTGTTCCCGTTTCACCAAACATCTTTAGTTAGTATGGTCAGAAATGTTTACAATTTAATAGGGATTTTTATAATAATGTATTTCTTATTAACTTTGATACTATAGAAGTCACAAATCAAACAACAAGTTCTTAGTGTTGTGAAAATAATATTAGTTTGATTGAGTTAAGGTTGAATAATCCCTTACCAAAGTTGAAGATTACTTTTACCAAATATTGACCAGGAAACCGGAAAGTGTCACCTTCCTTTGGTTTATATTATAAGGTGAGAATGTTATTAGAGTTTGTTGTGTACGGTGCAGGGTTGAAGGCGGGCGAGATCACGGTGCAGCACGTGCTGCAGCAGTTGGGTAACCCGGGGCTGCAGAGCCGCCACCGCGAGCTGCTGCTCACCGTGCTGCGACTGCACCAGCATCACCACCACCACCAGCAGCACCACCAGCAACAGCGCCAGGTACCTACCGCTTCTCACTCCTCGTCGATACTATGATTTTTCATATCATTGAATTTCGTAGGAGTCGTAAGTGGTGACTGTCGAAAAAGGATGTTTTACTTCATCTTGGAGCCATTTATTAATTCATTACCAGCTCTTCACAAGTTCACTGCAGAACATAGACCTGATCCAAGGAACGTCACAAAGTACGGTCTTGAGCCACCTGCATTCATCGATTTCCTGCATGTCTTACTTGGTCTCACTCCATTCAGTCGAGTGGAGGGTCGCCTTACACTTCGTTTACCGGTATGAGGCTGCCATTCGTGAACCTTTTTTTTCCTATAAGTTGTCGGTTCTTCGAGCTATATGGCCGGTTTATTGTCACTTCAACTTACTAATCCGTTGGATATTGATCTATAATAAAAAACCCAAAAAAAATATATTGATTGATTGAATATGTTGATAAAATGAGTGGTGAGTGCAGTAGACGATGAATGTACGTATTGTTGCACAGCAGATGGGCGGGTCCCCGCCGGCGGGCGCGCAGCTGGCGCAGCTGGCGCTGCCGCCGCCGCTGCAGCCGCTGCGCCTCTCGCCGCTGCCGCGCCCCGGTCAGTGCCCGCACCACACCGCACCACACCGTCCGCACCACACCGTCCGCACAACCACGACAAACACAAGCACATTATCACTTGCCACTTTTGTTGCAATCACTTCGTTTTCTTTTTAAGAAAAATATTTTTTTTAATTCTTTTATAATATGCAACTAGCTGTTCCGCCCGCATGTTTAGGGTTTTAATTTTTTTGTGCGTACCATAGTTATTTTTCTAAAATAAAAGTAGCCTAAGTTACTCCTTATGACATCAGCTAATCTGACAGTGAAAGTCTCGTCAAAATCGGTCCAGCCGTTTCGGAGATTACCCGGAACAAACAGACAGACGGACAGGCAAAAATTTTAAAAAGTGTAGTTTTGTTTTATGTATCGTTTATACTTTCATATGCATTTAGTAAAACGCTGTAATTTTGGCATTACAAACAGACACTTCAATTTTATTTATTTGTATAGATGTATTCATAGTAAATGCTATGTATTATTTTTAATATTTTAATCTATACAAATAAATGAAATTGAAGTGTCTGTTTGTAATGTCAAAATTACAGTTTTTTACTAAATGCATATGAAAGCAAATACGGTACTTATAACTAAAATACAATTTTTAAATTTTTTGTCTGTCTGTCTTCTTGTTTGTTCCGGCTAATCTCCGAAACGGCTGGACCGATTTTGACGGGACTTTCAGCTGATTTCATAAGAAATAACTTAGGCTACTTTTATTTTAGAAAAAAAATAGGGTTCCGCGCGAAAACTAAAACCCTAACACGCGAGCGAAGTCGCGGGGAACAGCTAGTCTATAATATAAAAATGAATCGCTGAATGTGTTGCTAAGTGCAAATCTCGAGAGCAGCTGAACCGATTTCGCTAATTCTTTTTTTATAATATTCCTTGAAGTACGAAGATGGTTCTTACGGAGAGAAAAATTTAAAAAATTGCCTGAAAAAGTCTAAAAACAACACTTTTCTATATCCCATACAAAAGATTCGTAATAATACTTAAAAGGCAATTTGAACTTTAATACCATACCATAAAGTTTAAGTATTAGTGGAGGAGTTCCGGGAAGGCAAAACAATTGAGTGACGTTAGTATCGTATAAATATTAATGTCAATATTTATCAATATTTATATACACTGGCAGATAGCTAAAATTGTGGAGGTTTTATTACCGCTAACTGACAAGTGCTTCAGTAAAGCGGAGTCTTTGACAACAATCTTACTCCTCGGTCAATACAAAGGTAATAAAACCACATAAGTTACAAATAAAAATTTATTTAAATTTAATAAAGGTTATCCCTATACGTTTCAACACTGCTGCTGATAACGCACTTAACAGGTGCCACACGGTTTTTAGATTTCGTAGATGCGAAAGAAAATGCAAAGGGATGCAACATCTCTTCGCAGTGCCAATGAATCGAGCCGATCAGAAAGGGCTCGGTCGTCGACAATTCGAGCTGCTCTGCGTTGGATGCGGTCAAGTGGAAGTAGCTGGCACTGGGGAGCCCCTGCCCAGAGATGGGAACAGTATTCCATGTGAGGCCGAACTTGCGCCTTGTAAAGTTGCAGGTGGTGTGCCGGCATGAAATACGGTCCCGCTCTGCTGAGCACGCCAAGCTTTTTAGAGGCCAATTTGGCCTTCTCTTCCAAGTGACCACGAAACTGCACGTCACTCGATATGTCGACTCCGAGGATACCGATACTGGCTGAGGCAAGAAAGGGAGTGCCTTGAAACTGAGGAGATATGACAAAGGGGTTCTTTTTAGCGGTAAACGCGCAAACTTGTGTCTTCTGAGGATTAAACTGGACTAGATTTAGTCGCCTCCAATCCGAGACTTTTTTCAGCAAAGACTCGACTTCAGACACAAGTTTGTTCCGGTACTCGGCGACGTTTTCCCGAGAAATATTGGCACGGCCGGTGTATAGAGCATCACCAATGCTGTCGTCCGCATAGCAATGAATGTTACCAGTTAGCAACATATCATTGATATGCAGAAGAAACAGCGTTGGTGATAGCACACAGCCTTGTGGAACACCAGCGTTAATAGGCTTGTAGTCGGAGCATGCACAGTCTACAACGACCTTGATGCTCCGATCTGCAAGGAAGCTGGTGATCCAATTGCACAATTTCTCGGGAAGCCCATAGGAAGGGAGCTTCGAAAGAAGCGCTTTGTGCCAAACCCGATCGAAGGCCTTCGCAATGTCCAGACTAACGGTCAATGCTTGCAAGCCGTTTCTAAAATAAATTTTGTAAATAGTTTGTAATAATTTCTGTTGTATAATTTATTTTTAAAAAAAGTCCCGCTGGGTTTCTTCTGGTTTTTCCCTGGACCAAGGATTTTTTTAAAACCAGTGGTAAAGTAAAAAAAATGACTTTCAATAAGAATTATTTGTCATCAATATTGAATAAAGAATTATACTATTCTATATACATAATACTAGGTTGCTATAGCTAAGCTAGAATTACATAAATAATGTTACCATGGTTAATTTGTTCTTGGACGCAGCTTTCTGTGTGTCTCCGATAATGGCTACGAGTCCCAACACTCTAACGGTGCACCATCCAGGTACGAGGTGATCGCCACCATGCTGCTTCTATAGAAATTCATACAAAAAATTGTTCCAAATTATTGTAAATCATATATTTAAAAAATCCCCTGGGTTTCTTGCTGGTTCTTCTCAGGACAGAGGTTATTTTTCGAACCAGAGGTAAATTAATTAAATAACTTTCAATAAGTGCTAAATAAATAATCTATATTGAATAAAAATATTCTATTTTATCTAATTTAACTCAATTTGAAAATACTATATCTAAGTAGTACTAAGCGATTTTTGTTGTTGTGTTTTTATAAGCAGTTTGTGATAAGTATGTGACTGTACGGCAGGTGTGGGTGGCGTGGGTGCCGTGGCAGGCGTAGGTGGCGGGGCAGGTGTGGCAGGCGTGGCGGGGCGCATCCCGTCGCCGCGCGAGCTGGCGGCGCACACGCAGAGCATCATGCAGGGCGCGCTCATCAAGAAGAAGCTGGAGGAGCAGCGCGAGAACTTCCGGCGGCGCCACGAGCTGCAGCCCAAGCACGCGCAGCCTCCCCCGCCCCCGCCCGCGCACCACCCGCAGCACACGCCTCTCTCCTTCACGCCCACCTCGGTGAGGGTACAACCTACTTTATCACCCGTACTCTATGAGATATGAGATAAGGTTGACAAACAAAATCAACTGATAGTAATGGTTGCTGAGGCCCATAGACATCCCTCGATTAAGAATCACAATGCAGATGCGTTGTCACCCGTGAGGACTAAGATGAAATATCTCGTTTCCAATGAAAAGGTCTCCACTTCTCTATACTTACCATACGAAACAGCAACAGATCTCCTTCATGCCCAGCTCGGTGAAGATACAACCATCTTTATAAGCTACTATCATTAGTTAGGATAGGTTTGTTCTTCATCATCAGCTTGTAAAATTTTATTGCCACACATGGAACGATTCCATTATATATAGGGAGGATTTGCCTAAATTTGCCACGGTTAGCAGACCTATTATGGGACACAGACACATGTTTTATAATGAGAAATTATTTTATACTTTAAGGGGGATGCACCAATACCACCGCCATACATTTTTGTTTTGATATATACGTTAAACACAGACACTATTTGTTTAAAACTAATCATTTTATCACTTTTCTACACTGAAACGTGCCCGCGAAAGACCTTATTAGGAAATAACTTACAGTATTTTATTAAGGAAAACAATAGAGAAATCTAAGAAAATTTTGACACTTCTTTAGTAGTGTGAGTGACTTTTGACAACTTGACAAGCAAAAGCGCCAAAAACATAGTTTAAACATTGGCACGCTATATGGCGTGCAGACAATATTGCTGTGCAACAAATACTATTATTCGTAGGTAGATGTTATGCAACGATGCCGTACTTCCTAACCTTGAACTAGATGCACTATGTTGAAAGCAGAAAAAGCGATGCCAAACATCCTTGTCTTGTTTGACTGTAATAAAATTTAAACATACTAAAGTAATTCTCAATTGTCAAGGGAAAGGCTTTACGCGCGGAATTTCTTGCGATTTATATTATATTTTTGTATGATTTTAATTGGTTCAATTTGCAATATTTCAAGTATATACATATATTGATTCCAATATAATACAATATATTGTAATTTATTGTAGGTATAGTAATTAATTATTCAAAATACGCAATTTTGTTTTCGGTGGTATTAGAAACGCAGGTTGGCCCAATTTCAAATCTCGTTACTATACTAATTACCTATGTCATACGTGTCGGTGTTGACAAAGTCAGTGTTTTCTTTGAATATTTTTCAACAATAAATAAAATTATAAATAGGTGAGCCACCAAAGTAGTCACAAAATTAATTTTACAAACATTTGCAAAATATAGTTTTGCGGGGTTACGTAAAAATACCTATTATATATTTTGCAAACAGTTTCAGACAGACACATATTAAAGTATGCGGAGTAAAATTTGGACAAAGTTCAATATTGTTTTAAATAAAAAGGCACCATTCTTTTTTTAAATAATTATGTTTTTATTATAATGTATAATCAATGCTTAATGTAAAAAATAGTTTATTCCCATGCGAGATGCTTTACGGCAGTTCTGTGGTACTTTGTCCATCGCTGTCGAAAACACAGATGTCGGCACTTTATTCAACTCCAATTTTATTTTTCGAATCAAACTCTGTATATTTTTGGGACAAAAATTATTGCAATAGGGCGAAATTGCGGAACATTAGGTGGATTTGAAGTCTTCGGTACGTATGGGATGTTCAACTCCGTCATTTTGCTAAGGGTTTTTTTGGAATAATGGCTTGAGGCTAAGTCTGGCCAAAACATTAAATTTTCTCCTCTATGACTCGTATTTATGAAATCCCGCACTAACGGCAAATAACGCTCTATGTAGCGATTGGCGTTCACAGCTAAACCTGACTCAAAGAATACAGGCTTAGACATTCCGCGTCGACTGATGGCAAGCCATAGCAAAACTTTTTTAGGAAATTTTGTATGCTCAACATAAATATTTCTCGTTCTCTTCGGTTGGATCATTGGTGTTCTAATAGTAATTGCTTTGCCACTCGTTTTCATCTAACGTTAAATATGACTCGTCACTCGCAAGTGACATTGCTTTTAGCGTAAAATATTTCTGTGACTAATTTACGCAGCCGTACTTTCTGAGTGATTTTTTGGTTTTCAGAGACGGTGGGCTTCACTTTTCTCCACCGCTTATCGATGTTCATGTCTTTAATAATTACCAATTCTGAGAAACAGCCGATGTGGACAGTGAAAAACTTTGAATACACAAAATTAAAATTTCAAACATGAAGCCAAAATATAAATTATTAAATATAAATAAAGTTCACAAGCTGAATAAAGAGCTCTTCCACAGATTGTCCATATTTACGGATTGACTTCCACAGATTTTTTTATTATTTTGAGTCCCATGTGCTGTTTCGTATCCTTCTGTCACCTCTTAAGAAACCCACGGGACACGCTGGTGGACTCTCTTACACCTCCACTACATTGCGTATTCAAATAATTTAATATTATTTTGGCTTTACCTTTTATGCTTTGGGGCATTTCTTTTATACGTAGTAGAGCCATGCTCCAGTACGAATGGGTTGGCTCGGCCGGGGTAGGACCACGCTCTCACAGAATACCAGCGTGAAATAGCTGTTCAACACTACTGTTTCGTATGGTGAGTGTAGAGAACCGGAGTCCCTTTTTACTGGAAACGAGGCATTCCATCTTAGACCTCGGGAGTGACAATGCATCTGCATTTTGATTCTAATTTGAAGATAGATGTAGATGTCAATGAGCAACAGCATTAAACTAGTTATTCGTTTATCACCCTTATACTATAAAAAATATATTTTGGGGAGGCCTATGTTCAGCAGTGGACTTGTGAAGGGCTGTATGTAATGACGATGATGATGATGATGTCGACTTACGTAACTCAAAAATCAAAAGATAGTGTTAAGATAGTTGTATATTTATATGTAACTTAGGAACAAGTTCTCCTAACATAGATATTTCAAACTTAAAATAGTTCTTAAACATATTGATACTTGTATTGATTACGATCAATAAATAATAAATTGAAGGCTCCGTAGCGTAGTGGCTTAACAATAAGTTGCGGCGCTGAGGCCGCGGGTTCGAATCCCGCACGGAATAAGTATTTGAGGTTGGATGTTTGTAATTGTGAAATTTATGTATTTAAACGTCCACGATACAGGAGGATAACTTAGTGTGGGTATAAAGTTTAAAAAAAAATAAAGAACTGTATTTGTAGTGAATATGAACACATTTATTTTCATAATTGCAGGTACTACGTAAGATGACAGCAGACAAGGAATCAGACTCCCTCAGTCCGAAACAGCAGCAATGGTCTCAGCCTTTAAAGATGCCGCAGGGACGGCCAATTGTTAAGGTAATTAAGACATTAATATAATAATTTAAAACCACTTATTTGACCGCTTAGTAGCGGTGTAAGAATATCTACTACACACTCTACATTTATACACTACTCCATATCATTCCGTACGTGTCCTAAGAAGCGACAGAGGGAAACAGATCAAGAGATGGGCAAGCAGCGTCTTCCTAATAACAACTTAACTAAGTAACCAAGTAAAAAAACTGCAGTTGCCAACCCACCTGCCAAGCGTGGTAAGCTATGGCAAATATCCCTCTTAAGAGGCAATCTATGGTGAGGCATGTGTTCAGCAGTGACTGTGTGTTTGGCAGGTTATAATGAATGAATGAATAATTAAAGACCGAATAGTGGCCGTGATATCCTACAAATTATACCGAGATGGGTTTCTTTCATTGCACAAACATGATTTATTTTATATAATGTATATTTTTTATATTATGTGGTAGAGTCGTACTGCAACTATGTTATGGTTGTGGCGGTATGGTGGTATAATATGGGTCGGCTCGACCAGGGTAGAACCACAGTAACACAGAATACCAGCATGAAATAGCAACCTAATGCTGCTGTGATTTATATTTTGAGTGTATCTTATGGAGAACCGCAGACTTCACTGGAAACGAGGCATTCCATCTTAGTCCTTAGGTGTGACAACGCACCTGCATTTTGATTCTTAATTGAGGATGAATGTAGATGCCTATAGGTCACAGCATCCACATACCATCAGGTTGACTGTGTGCTAGTTGTCACCTTTATTCTATATAAAAAAATACTTGACGTAATTTTCTGTCTTTCAAATTTGTTTTTTATTTAATTAAATATGCGTACAATTCAAACGTCAAAATTTTGATTCTTAATGGAGGATAGATATAGTCTATGGATCACAATATCCCATTAAGCCTTTGTGTATGTATTTAAATTGAATCAAATATAAAATGACGCAGGGCAACCAGAGCGGAGCTCCACCTTCAATCGGCTTCGCGCAGTCGCCGGCAGACTACCAGCAGCATTATATGAATCAACAGCAGGTGAATTCTTCTCTCGCGTACTAATGTAAATGTTAAATTTTAAAAGCTTATTACGTGGTAGAGCCACGCTGCATTTATATTATAGTTGTAGCACGAACGGGTCGGCTCGACCGGTTAAGGACCACGCTCTCACAGAATACCAGCGTTAAATAGCAGCTCAATGGTGCTGAGTTTCGTATAGTGAGTGTAGAGAACCGGAGACCATTTTTACTGGAAACGAGGCATTCCATCTTTGTCTTCAGGGGACAACGCATCTGCATTTTGCTTCTTATTGAGAATAGATGTCTATGGGCCACAGTATCCACTAACCATCAGGTGGACTGTGTGCTCGTTTGTCACCTTTAGTTTATATTTCAAAAATTATATTTAAGATTAATGTCTGACCCTTTTTTGCTAGTAGATATATTTTTCACCATATTGCGGCTGTACGAGAAAGCTCAAGGTCGCTCGGTGAGCTATGAAGAGGGCTATGCTCGAGGTTTCTCTGCGTGATAAACTTGGAAATGTGGATATCCGCAGTAGAACCAGAGTGACCGACATAGCCCAACGGATTAGTAAGCTGAAGTGTCAAATGTTCAGCAGTGAACAGTGAAGGGCTGTAATGATGGTGGATGATGATATTGCGGCTCTGTAGCAACGCACCAACTATTCAGGTTTCCTTCTCAATACTCAAGAGTAACAACACTATTTTAAGTTGACTTTAAGGTGAATGGCAAGTCTATGCCTTTCTTTCTGTCTCTATTATTTAAAAGACAATGACGCTGTAGCATTATGTTTCTATATTTCTACCTCTCAACCTAATATATTATTATTATCGAATTACTAAAAGCAATTTATTTCATCAAGTTCCATATATGTTTTCCAGCAAATGGTGGGAGGTGGCCGCTCATACCCCATCCTACCCAACCCCCATCCGCAGCAGAGACAGCAAATGTCTAACTCTGTAAGTATATTTGTTTTGTCAGTAAAATAATAGGAACAAAAAGCGTAAAATACATTTAAGTGATCAATAAAATTTACATTCCAGCTATTACAACCTATCAAAGTTACACATGCATTACTTGCTCCATAAAAAGCAGTTTCCTTTGGAGTGACTGAGTTAATGAACGAATAATTTATCGTCCAAATACCGGAAAAATTACATAGTCGTCTATGTGCGTTTTTCTTTTTTAGCAAATGAGAACTTGTTGAATAATAAATATTAATATTGTTCTGAAATACGTGAAAATCTTATGAATTAAGAATTCCTGCACTTTAAAACCCTCTTAAAAACGGCGGCATCATACAATAAAAAAAGCATATATAGTTATTGCCAAGGCAAAGTCAGAGCACATAGACAGAATTGGCGAGAAACTATAATTAATAACTGTAAGCCATCACTACCATCTCTGCACAGGGAGGACGATTCATTGGCCCACGGTGCAAAAGAGAAAGCCGACCTTTTAGGCTCCCTTTTTGCGTCCAACTCGACTGTTGATGACGGGGGGAAAACACCCCGGGATGGTCGGCGAGTGCTCCATGCCGCATGTGCGGTTCTCATAGCGCTCGGTTCGCAGAGCACTCTCCCTGGACATCCAGAAGTCGAGTGGGGTTGACGGAATCCCCCCAATTATGCTGAGGACGTGTGCTCCAGAGTTGGCACCGGTTCTAACGCGTCTTTTCTGGTACTCCTACTCCCTAGGCGTAGTTCCGAAATCATGGAAGACAGCTTTTGTCCACCCGATCCCTAAAAAAGGCGACCGCTCATACCCGTCCAACTACAGGCCTATCGCCATCACCTCCTTGTTCTCCAAAATAATGGAATCCATTATTAACTGCCGGCTCATGCGGTACCTTGAGGATCACCAGCTGATTAGTGACCGCCAATACGGTTTTCGTCGGGGTCGATCAGCTGGTGATCTTCTGGTCTACCTGACTCATAGATGGGCAAAAGCAGTAGAGTCCAAGGGGGAGGCGTTGACCGTTAATTTGGACATTGCGAAGGCCTTCGATCGGGTTTGGCATAAAACGCTTTTTTCGAAGCTCCCTTTCTATGGGCTTCCCGAGAAATTGTGCAATTGGATCATCAGCTTCCTTGCAGATCGGAGCATCAAGTTTGTTGTAGACGGTGCGTGTTCTGACTACAAGCCTATTAACGCTGGTGTTCCAAAAGGCTGTGTGCTATCACCAACGCTGTTTCTTCTGCATATCAATGATATGTTGCTAACAGGTAACATTCATTGCTATGCGGATGACAGCACCGGTGATGCTCTATACACCGGTCGTGCCAATATTTCTCGAGAAAACGTCGCCGAGTACAGGAACAAACTTGTGTCTGAAGTAGAGTCTTTGCTGGACAAAGTTTTGGATTGGGGGCGACTAAATCTAGTCCAGTTTAATCCTCAGAAGACACAACTTTGCGCGTTTACCGCTAAAAAGAACCCCGTTGTCGCATCTCCTCAGTTTCAAGTCACTCCCCTTCTTGCCTCAGCCAGTATCGGAATCCTCGGAGTCGACATATCGAGTGACGTGCAGTTTCGTGGTCACTTGGAAGAGAAGGCCAAATTGGCCTCTAAAAATCTCGGCGTGTTCAAAAGAGCGGGACAGTATTTCATGCCGGCACACCGCCTGCAACTTTACAAGGCGCAGGTTCGGCCTCACATGGAATACGGTTCCTATCTTTGGGCAGGGGCTCCCCAGTGCCAACTCCTTCCACTTGACCGCATCCAGCGCAGAGCGGCTCGAATCGTCGACGACCGAGCCCTTTCCGATCGGCTCGATTCATTGGCACTGCGAAGAGATGTTGCATCCCTTTGCATTTTCTTTCGCATTTACCACGGGGAGTGCTCTGAGGAATTGTTCGGATTAGCCGCCAAATTTCACAAACGCACATCGCGGCAGAACTCCCGATACCATCCACACCAATGATTGGCGATGCACCACTGTGCGATTTAGAAAATGTTTTCTTCGACTTCGACTTCCTTGTGGAATCGATTACCATCAGCAATTTTTTCGGACCAATACGACTTAGGGACCTTCAAGAAAAGAGCCTACTCCTTTTTAAAAGGCCGGCAACACATCTGCAATTCCTCTGGTTCCCCTGGTGTTGCAGTTGTTCATGGGCGGCGGTAGTCACCTACCATCAGGTGAGCCGCATGCTCGTTTGCCCCTTCTCCTATAAAAAAAATATATTTATTCATAATATACCCAACAATTTTTAAATTTTATTATTTCTGGCAGATTAAGATAAGATAAGATAATCATTTATTGTCATAACTGTGTACATGAGGTCTTACAAATACAGAGTATAGTTACAACAGTTTGTCCATTTCGGACGTACAATATAATAAAAAATAAAATAAAGCACTGCAATAAATCAATAATTACTTCCAAAAAATTCATCAAAATTATAAAACCATTTTGATAATAACCAGTCTTTTAACTTTTTTTAAATCTTGGGCTCTCTAATGATTTAATGTATATAGGTAAATGGTTAAAGATTCTGATTCCGCTTATTAAAGTACTTTTACTATAAACGTAACTAGATGATTTAACAATGCACACATCAAAAGCATATTGAGGTCGCAAGTTCTTTTTTGATTCTTTTTTAATATTAAAATGTTGTTGGTTATCTTTGACAAACACAGAAATTTCAAGTATGTATATACAAGTCAACGTCAGAAATTTACAATCTATAAATACATTTCTTAATTAGTCATATTGATTAATATTATACTTAATCCTTAAGCACGTTTTTTTTGCAAAACAAATGTGGACTGAATATCAACAGAATTGCCCCAGAATATAATTCCATATGTAAGAAGTGGATAGACATGACCATAGTAATAATTTTTTGCTATAATAATAATAATTCTTTCTTTTGTTCTAGAAACTTTATCGTTATTGTAATAAGCGCCCTCTGTTATCCATAAACGTTATGATTTATTTACCAAAGAGTTAGTGATTGACAACGTCTATCGATTATTGTTTCGATAAAAAATTATTACGGGATACCGATTTAATCATCTACAATATTTAAGGAGCTGATACAGTAAACTATACTGTGCCGGTACCAATAAAGAAATCGGTTGGGCCTGTTTCGGGGCACACGGTCGTTGGTTTTAACATGAAACATCTATGTCAGCCAGTACAACCAGTACAACCAGTCAACAGACTTTAAAATAAAATTAATATAATTTTACAACACCAGGGGAATTGCAGATGCGTTGCCGGCCTTTTAAAAAGGAGTAAGCTCGTCCATAAAAATTGCCATTGGTAAACGATTCCTAAGAAAACTAATAAATCGCACGGTAGTAGACCGCCAAGCATCCAAATGATGTGGATGGTAACGTAAGTTTTGTAAGTTGTGTTGGTGAAATTTGGTAGCTGGAATTAATCCGAACAATTCCTCAGAGCACTCCCTGTGTTAAATACGATAGAAAATCGAGCCTATCAAAGAGAACTCGGTCATCGACGATTCGAGCCGCTCTGCTCTGCAGTTAAGTGGAAGGAGTTCGCACTGGGGAGCCCCGGCCCAGAGATGAGAAAAGTGTTCCATGTGAGGCCGAATCTGCGCTTGTATAGTTGCAAACGGTCGCTTTTTTGTTCACGGTAGTGTCCCGCTCTACTGAGTACGCCAAGCTTTTTAGAAACCAAATTAGACGCCAAAAATTACGCTATTGGCTACGGCAACAAGGGAAGTGCTCTGAAATTGAGGAGATACGACAAAGGTGTTCTTTTTAACGGTAAACGCGCAAACTTGTGGATGTGTAATCATTTATTTTGTAATGACCTTTAAGTGCAATGCTTTCCTAAAATATGTTAGATTTAAAATGTATTTTTGTAAAAGAAACTAATTTGAAAAACATGGAGTCGCTCTTTTATTGGATATGACGTTTCTTGATGTGCCTTTGACGCCGACCGACCAATCGTATGCTATTATTATAGCGTCTAATAGACCTAGTGATGTCATCCATGATGCTACCAATGTACCATGTGACTGCTGTTTTAATTGATTCTTAGTTATTGTAAATTAAATATAATATTTCATGACGTTATTCATAACTTAAAATGTTTAAATGAATTTTGTTGGTCTGATGGGAGTCATAGTGAATAGATTTATACAATAAAAAGCATGCATATTCCCTATTATTTTGTCGTAAAGCATTACAAACTTAGTAACCTACAACAACATTATCGATACTTTGATGTCGAAACGGTAACATTCCTAAAACTGTTTTTACCCTACATTTGGTAGCGTCACCTACTGGGGAATAGCTGAAATGTGTTCCTAATAAATATTCTGAGTAGTTTTACTATGTTTAGCTAGAGGGCGTCGCACACGCGCGAGCTCAAAGTTTTTGTATGAAAACGTTCTCTATGTCCGCTTTATAGTATACCTATATATTTAAATCTCTTTGGTGATACGTAAATACTATGTTCTATAAAATTGTAGATGACCTCCTACAAAAGGTCCGCGATACCATAGGTATATTTGTTATACATAAGCCACAATTTTGTGACAAAAAAGTATTGAAAATTAAAAAATGATTTATGAGAGTTATTATTGGGCGTGGCATATTAATCCTTACGTAAGAAAGTAACTTCATCATCAAGATAATTTTATGAAGATAAAGTTTGCTCTTTATAGCATTTTATTTGGAGACATAGTTTAAGAGATAATGAATGATTAAAATAGGCGCGTGGAAAATAAAGATAAATAAATCATTTGCTGTGAAATGTTTTGTTTTATATTTCATTTCATTTGAAGGTTTCACTTCTGCCGCGTGTGAACTGCACACGTGCTTCTTTTTGTTAACGTAAGGCCCACGTCAGCTCGAAGTTGGCAACCGCAGTTTTTTTTATTTTCTTGATATTAATAGAAATACTGTTGACCGTCTCATTTTTTCACTTTTAATATTATAAATGTTGATTTAGTTTTTTTTTGTTTTAATGTGTGTCTTACAAACATATCTTGAACTAGTATTTTACATTTTTTCCGCAACTGAATTTAAAATCAAGTTATTTTTAAATTCATACTTTATTTATTTAATTAATTAATTAAAACGGTATTTACTCCAATTACAGTAATTAATAACTTTAAAAGGCACATGAGAATAAACTATGCTATTAATAAACTATATATAACTATATATACTAAGAAAAATACAAATAATTTATCATTACTTTCGCAAAATCATAAACAAGCTGACAACAGAACATTCCAACTATCCGCAAATAATATCAATTGCAGGACAGAAGGCTGACTTTTGAATTCGAAAATCTCAAACTAAAGATATAATCATGCATCATGCATCGTAGGATTTTTTAGGTTTTATTAGGCTAGAGGGGGTATCACTTTGAAACTTAAACCAAGTTATTGAAATTATGTTTAATAAATCAAATAGTGTGCCGTGGTAGCTTAGGGGATAAGCACTCGCTGGAAATATCAGAACACGCGGGCAACCTGGGTTCGAACTCCGCCGGCACCAATGAAATTGTTACTGATTTACCAAGTGCTCTACGGAGAAGAAAAACATCGTGAAAAAACCTGCATGTCTATGTCCACCAACACGCATTGGCGCAGCGCGGCGGACTTTTCCTTAGCCCTAAAAACCTTCTTAGAAATGAGAGGAGGCCTGTGTCCAGGATTTGGACGTAGTAGGCTGTAAAATTGGAGTATCCTTTCACAGAATTCTTAAGGATGTATATACGTTCCAAGCGCTGATTAGCTCAAAACAATACTTTTCAAACCTGTTAATATCCATCAACTGCTTATCTTACATAAATGTTAATTACTCATAACTTTAGGAAATTTTATGGTTTATAAACTCTAAATAGTTATATGGTTTTTTTTTTTATATTAGTAGGGTATTATTTCTGGATGCTATCAAGAAAACTAACAGAGGTTTTCTTAATTTCCCTTTTAGCGTCAATTTCAAAGCATATCTGAAATGGTTGACAATTTTACGAAACAAAAAATACAATCAGTTTGACAAACCCCAAGGAAAATAGTTGCTAGAAAATATATTTTGATTTAGGTTATATATGTACATAAGAAATTAAAAATTGAAACCAAGTGAAATTTTTATGAAAATGCTATGGATAAAGTAATTATTTTCACCAATTTATGTTACTTAATTTAATAGGATAAAAACATATGCTACCCTTTAAAATTAAAAATAAAATAGCTGTATTATTTTTCTATAAATATTTTAACATTACTATAAAACCAGCAGAAACCTCCGCGTTTGGATCAATTCAAATTACACAACCGCTAGGTTTCCCAGAGAGGAGTCACGTCGCTCGACGCTCTACCTGACGTTTGCCGTGCATACGCGGATACTGCACTATTATAGTGTTATCGACTTTATAAAGTAAAATATTTTATTATTATTTTTGATGGCCGGTAATGTTTATTTTAGAGTGACAACAAATTATGATTTAGACTTAATGGGAAATGAAACCAAGCTGTATTTAGCTAATGAAAAGAAGACTAAAAAATTAGAGCATTTATTTAAAAGTTTAAGAACGGAATAGGTTAAAATAATGAGATTTTGTTTTATTATTTTACTTTAGATACTAATGTTGTCTTTTTTAACTACAGGAGCTAAAATGTGCAGTTAAATAATGTAAGCTAAAAGATAAGAGAATGAGTGAAATTTCTTGAGCAGAGCAGTATTGACAAATAAACAAGTGTTAAAATTAAACATTTTGTACAACCGTTTTCAATATAAATTATTAAGGATAATTCAAAAACTATTGGTCAGAACTTGATCAAATTTATATGGGACCAAGTGAAAAGCGCCAGCTTTCGATTAAAAAAAAAGAATCATCAAAATCGGTTCACCTAGAAAAAAGTTATGAAGTAACATACATAAAAAAAAACGTATAGTCGAAGATAAGAGCTGGCTTATTTAAATGTGTAGCGTTCGCGTAAATATAAGAAATCATAATGATAAACTAGTTTGCAAAATGTGTGTTGAGAATTTAAAGTTCAAAAAAGTGCTCTAAGGCGATAATAAAATGGGCATAAAACAGGAAATTTTAGCAGGAATTATTTCTACTGGCACTTGATATATCCAGCTTCATATTGTTCTTGCATATGTAGACATTCCATCGTACCTCTGCGGTTGTATGAAGCACCGCGTAATTAAGTTTGCCAACGGTGGGAACAAACCGCGGAGCATCGTATGGTTGAGGCTAGGAAAGAAGAGGTGGGGCATGTAAAACTCATCGCAAATATGTCGTCTCAAGAAATACCAATGATACACGTAATTGCAGACGCATATTGAGTAAACGTTCATACGGCACAAGCTACGATGCTTTCTCCAACGCTGCGACAGTTGGTGACCAGCACAGTAAAGAAGTCCTGTACTGTGGGGTGAAAAATTAATATTCCGTCACATGGTCCCAATCAGAAAACAAAGGAATTGAGCCATCAGATCATGTGTCATTCAAGAAATTTTGTGGGTTCAACAGGTAAAAGGTCTTTAATACTTGACCTTATATTACAGTTGGTGAAGTCCCCAGAAAATAAAAATTTTGGTGAAAGGAGCACTATTTTACTGAGTGCAAACTCGCTCTTGAAAACAAGAAAAGTTGACAGCTTCATGGTTTGCCAGTTTGCAAGCGGCTTGAAAATACCAACAGTACCTACTCTCCTTGCTAAGGAATTAATGTGTGATTACGGTTTAAGCAATGTGTCATCTATAAAAAATAGCAAGAACCATGAGCGTTCCGGGAATTAGAAAGGGCTTTAAATGTTAACATACATGACTAAATTACAAATATACCACAAATATTCATTTCCGGATGCTGCTAGTCCAGACGGCAAATATGAACCTGGTTCTTTAGAAGTGAAATGCCCATGACTAGATTATAACCCGAATGAGCAATCAAACAAAAGAAAATTTATTTCTTGTTGTATAAATCTGACGTTTTCACAGTCAACATAAGAAGCAAATGGTGCTACAAAGTTCAGGGCCAATTACGAACTGGTTAAAATATGTGTATATTTGTCTGCGAACAGGCGACGGTAAAATTAAATTTAAATTCATAATAAGAGACTACCATTTCTGGAAGGAAAATGTGAAGAGACTTTTAGTAAAATCCTACAATAACTGCTTACCTCCAGAGCTAGTTGATACGCGAGATATATGAATCTATAAATTTCTCACTCACACATGCACATAGAATCGGTACATGTACGGTAAAACAGGCGCAAGGTCACTCGTGCTTGCGTGGCATTTTCTACAAAATTATTTTTTAATAATGCTAAACCCGCACCCCACTCAAATTTACAATAATATAAACATAATTATCATGGCAGATACCAAATGCGATTGCAAAGTTTCGCCACTTCAAGTATCCTAGTACCAACAAAGAAAGAAAAACTGAGCGCTGCGTGTACGCACTTTACACACACGTTACACGTTGAAATGTATTTCAAGATGCAAGAACCAAACCAAAACCATGCTCACCTTATTGCAAGAACAAGCATTCACATACATATATGAACTTAAAATATTTTGCAACCATTAATATGGTTTTAGGTGCATCCATCAGTAAACTTTTACGGGCTTATAAAAAAAAAGAGGTATGCGAGAGTGCCTGTCAAGAAGTTGAGCATGGTTTCAGCTTCATTCAAAATGTATACAGCGCTCCGTCTTTCTTCCTTGTTAGTCTGAACAAGTATCGAGTTTAGTTAGCTGTGATATATAAAATATAGAGGAAAACTGTTTCAATGTGAGCATGCGTAAAAGTCAGCTTGCAATTCGAATATCTAAATTCGAGCACGTCAAAAATGTAACTACGTCCTTAAACCCTAAATGATTTATTTGAATGGTCGACCCGATTCGTAAGACGAATTAATACTAAAAGGATTGGGTCACTAGAAATGAATGAATGACACATGTCTATTATCTATCACATTTTTCACAATTCTCCATCTAAACCCACATTTTTTTGGTTAACATGATCAGACAGATTTCTGCTCTTTGGGTTCTGCCTACCTTTTAGAGGATAACATGCGTGTATGTATGTAGAAATAGTATTGTAAGTATGTAAACATATTAATATGATTATATTTGTGTTATTTACAACAGTACAGTGGAGCGGGAGGTACCCGTGGCAATGGTAGCACGCTGCAACAGCTGCTTATGCACTCGCATCACCGAACCCTCAATGGTAACTTAATTCATACCATCTACTTCATTAAATAAATAAATTTTATTATATCACCTGATGATGAGTGGATGTTGTGGACCATACACCATAATATGTACTACTATTCTCGATAAAAATTAAAATAATGCGTTGTTTTCCTTGAGGACTAAGATGGAATGTTTCGTTTCCAGTAGAAAGGATCTTCGATTTTCTACAACCATCATATCAAACACATCAGCATTGAGTTGTTATTTTACGGTTATATTCTGTGAGAGCGTGGTTTTTTCTCGGTCGAGCCGATTATGGGTATACCACCACCACTATAATATAACTGTAGCCTGGTTTTACCATATATAAAAGTATGCCAGTCACTATTCACTCACTCATCACGAGATCTTTAAAACTAGATGCCCGTTTGACTAGAAATTTGGCGTATACATAGTCATTTTTCGACGTTGTTATCTATTAAGAGATGATTTTGGAAAATTCAATCTCTGAGGGGATGAAACTGTGTTACAGATTGTCTGTGCATAAATGAAATATTTTTGGGTTTCGGAAGCGTTTGTGCGACTGAAGTGACGTGCGTGTGTGTGCAGAGAGCGGCGGGGCGGGCGGGGCGGGCGGCGGGGCGGCGGGCGGCGACAACCAGCTGGCGCGCTGGTTCTCGCCCGAGCTGCTGGCGCGCGCGTCGGCCGGCAAGCTGCCGTCCGTGCACGTGCCCAACGCGCTCTCGCTCGAGGACCTGGAGCGCCACCACGCGCCGCCCGTGCGCAACTGACTCCCGCGCGGCCCACACCCTTCCCACATGCCACACTTTACCCTGTTACATTCTCCCAACATCCCCACTTTCTCCCAATCCTTCCCGTTACCTATTCTCCACAACTTGCATCGTGATGCTCTCGGTTAGCATGTAAGATATCAAATCGAATATGAATAAATTATAAACTTTGTGTCAAAATATCAAACGGAACGGACTGTGTCAACTTGTAGATCTGCTTACGATAGGTCTAATTGAAATAAATTCATAAAGTAACCCTTTCTGATGACTTGAAAATTTTAAACCCACACTTGAATACACTTACAGAATTATATAAATCAACTTAAAAAACAAATTATGCTAATACAATTGTCTCCATTATCGATGACTTCCATCTTACATGCATTACAATATGTTTTCAAATCTATAATTATTGAATATCCTAGAAACCAATCATTAAAAATTATGTAAGCAAATTAAAAACATTGTGTATACGCTGTAACTCAATATTAAAATATGTTATACTGTTGTGACCATTTTTATGTACTCTTTAAACTTTCAAAGCGTTAAAATCACACAAAACTATTTTCAATGTATTAAAAACAAGCTAAAGCGTATGTTTGAACGATAAACAATAACAATTGTTGTTTTGTTGTTTATACAGGATGTTCTGTATTAAATTTTAGAGTTGATTTATATTCTACCGAGTTTAAGTCGTTCTACTATCTATTTATATGTGCGACTGAAATTTAAAGATTCCTTACAATTCTAATACTTGTGTTAGCGTGTAAAACATATATTATATTTGCTTTGAGAATTTATTCTTTATAAAGTTTAAACAAAATTTATAATTTAAATTGCAACAGGGAGTATTCATCGACAATTCTGCTGGCATTCTGTAAGTTTTAACAAGTGAACTGTTTAAAAAATTTCGATGTTTCTCTAACAATTTGTAAGGCATGCTAGCTAGAATTTGTTTATCTAACAATTTGTAAGACGTGCTAGCTAGAATTGATTGCAAAACGTAAATCACTTTTAAGATATTTATATATATTGAGAAATCAGATGTATGGCCATAGCTTAAGAAATATTTGCAACCAATTTATATCAAACCTACATCAAGTAACAGTTGGTATAATGACAATAAGCAATAGCTATACGTCTGAAAGCCCTCGTGTTGATCGCCAGGGCAACTGTCAGACAGCTGTAGATGCTGTCACAAGATGTGTGACGTAAAACAGAGAGGAAAAGGTAGCAGCTGATAATGGGGCTCCAGTTTGGTGTATTTCTTTTAAGTAGTGTTGTGAGGTAGCGTTTTTGTTGATTCGCGGACAAAATGGCCGCCGCGCACCTGATATTATTTGACGACCCTGTATCAGCTACCTTTGTATTATTTACACGGTGCAAACAATTTTAAAATGTCTCTTGAAACTGTGACAAAGTAATGATTGTAAGAAATATTCTAGAATTGTTGTCTTGCGTTCAAAGCTTTTGTCGTTGGTCGGTTGAGGCTGAGTGATATACATGAGTTCGCATGTATGAGTGCGAGTGAGTGAGAAATATTTGTATATGTGTCTACGGTTGTGTTTGTATGCGTTTTTGTTACATCATTTTTTGAGAGGAGAAGAAAGATTTAGGTTGAAGAAGAGATTTTTCGTGTCTATACACACTTTATCGACAAGGAGATAGACGACATTATTAGGGTGATCTTTTTTCACCCGATAACTACTTTTTGAGAGAGCAACTTAGGATCCGCACAAGTCCGACCCGCAGTTGTGTTTGGAGTTCCTGAGTTTCTTTATTAATTTATTTTTCGAACCCGATATGTCGATGTGACTTGTTTATAGCATGTCAATTAAAATATCCCGTACTCTAGTGTTGCCATATTGATCCCCGTTTCGCATTTAACATTATGTTTTGTTTGGACTTTTTACCTTAAGACAATAGGCTACGTATGTATTAGACATTGCCAGAATTATCATGAGCTAACAATAGTATCAAAGATATTTTAATAACAATAAAGCGATTTAATTAAGACTAAAAATAATTAATTTTTAACATCTATAATATAATGGATATCCGTGTAATAACAATAAAAATTTAGTTATTTTTCACATTCCTCTACTAAATATATTTGTACACAGAGTTGTATCTGCGAAAAAGAAACGATTATGGGGTTTCTAGTACTGGCAACACTTAATCAACACGTCGTACAGAATAACGTTTGTACCGTCCAAGTAAATTGCCAAGTCTCTGCTCTAATTGGCGCCCAAATAGCGATAGCAGCATTGTATTGTTGTTCAAGTCGCCTGTGCCTTGTTTTGGAAAGAACGAGACTGCTGCACCTGTGCGGCAGGGTGTACGGAGCAAACGAAAACTGATTCTTTTCATGGCTTTGTTACGCATGACGAAGGACCAGCGCTGGCATCGCATTAAATGCGGCTGCCGAGCGATTTTGGTTCTTATTTAAGGACGATAGAAGCGAAATTTTTGTTTTTTCGGTGTTGGTGGCTCAGCAACGATGAGCCGCTTGCATATTTACGAAATGAAATGTCTCCTGTAAGCTTTAAATTATTGATTAAAGAAAAATTTAAAAGTTGATTTGTTGGTTTTACTTTTCTACCAAAAACACTAACTGCAATCTGTGATCGAGGATGTCGAGCTTACTGCTGCACAGAGTATATACATAGTACGTGATGGCCTTGTGACTCATTATTATAATGTCTTCCAGACCGACTTGCGGTCACGGTGGCCAGTCTTAACGAGACTAGCCATATAAAAAAAAATAAAAATGTTTTATTTTTCAGGCATCGTAGGCCCATATCATGTTAGTAATATAAAATAAAACTTAAGAACTAATGTTAGTAAATAAAACAAGACATAAATTTGTGAAAAATTAGAGATTTTTATCAAGCTCCATTTCGTAAATGTAGCTTAATAAACCTACCCAGTGTCGGGCCATCTAGCCGTTCCGCAAAGACCCTCAAGAGACTATTCGAGCTCCTCCTCACTCTGTGCATCAGTGACCCCACTTTTTTACGCATGATCGCGAAGTAATCGTCAGTATGCGCATCCGCGAACATGCCTGATGCACTACAATAAGGTGGAAGCCCCAACAGCAACCTGAAGGCGTTGTTATATTGGATACGCAGGGTATTTCCTGCCCTTTGGGTATGATTGGCCCAAAGGCTGCTGGTGTAAAATGTTTGGCAGAAAGCCTTGAACAGTGTAATTTTAACTGGTACAGAGCAAGCAGCAAACCTTCGAGCCACCATTTACCTCTCACAGCTAGCGCCCTGCGTTCCCTTTCAATATCTAGATCATCCTTCAAGTCTTCTGTTACAATATGACCCAGATATTTAAATTGGGCTACTCTCTGTAAAAGTAAACCGTTAAGCTTTACTGGAGGGATATATGTTGGACTTTTATTTCTACCTCTGAAAACCAACAGTTCACTTTTATCAGCATTATATTTCAATCCATGTTGATCAGCATAATCCTCACAAATGGCAAGCAACTTTCGCATTCCACATATTGACGGGCTCAGCAGCACCATATCGTCTGCGTAACTTAAGTTGTTTAGACTTACTCCGTCTATATGGCAACCAACATGTGTGCTGCTAAGGTCGTCAATCAGTTTATTAATATAGATATTAAAAAGCCTCGGAGAGGTAAGACCTCCCTGCCTCACACCGCACTCAAAGGGTCAGACAATACATTGGACCACCTTACAAAGTTTCTTTGCTTGTCATACCACCTACATAATATAGACACTAATGAAGCAGGTACTCCCGCCTCCCGAAGCTTTCCCCACAAAACATTGTACGAAACCAGGTCAAAGGCTTTTGAAAGGTCCAGGAAACAAGCATACACGGGTGTTTTTCTGTCAGTGTAATATTTGACAGTGTGCTTCAATGCAAAAATAGCACTCTCAGTGGATAGTCCCGGGCGAAAACCAAACTGTGAGTCGTGTATCTTTATGTATTCACTGAGGCAAGAATCGAGCACACTGTCAAATACTTTGGCTATTACGGTCGCCAGTGAAATAGGTCTGTAATTACACTTGTCTGCTATGTCTCCCGTCCTATTCTTAATAATAGGTACGACTATAGTATCCAGAAGCTCCTGTGGTAAATGAGAATGGCCTAAACATAAATTAAAAAGCAATATATGTATAGTCTGTTCGCTAAGATAGTGTCGGTACACCACAGGAAGCACACTTATTATTTTGTAATAATAAAGTAGAATACTATTTTATTCTTATGGTTATTGTAATAAAATACGAATATCATCATTCATCATCATCATCATCATCATTACAGCCATTCACAAGTCCACTGCTGAACATAGGCCTCCCCCAAAGAATGCCACAAAGCACGGTCCCGAGCCACCTGCATCCATCGATCTCCTGCATGTCTTACCAGGTCGTCACTCCATCTCGTGGGGGGACGCCCTACACTTCGCCTACAGGTACGAGGCTGCCACTCGAGAACCTTTCTTCCCCATCGGTTGTCGGTTCTTCGAGCTATATGGCCGGCCCACTGCCACTTCAGCTTACTAATCCGTTGGGCTATGTCGGTTACTCTGGTTCTACTGCGGATATTCTCATTCCTAAGTTTATCACGCAGAGAAACTCCGAGCATAGCCCTCTCCATAGCTCGCTGAGCGACCTTGAGCTTCCTCATACGGCCAGCAGTGAAGGACCACGTCTCAGTTCCATAAGTCATCACTGGCAACACGCACTGGTTGTACAATTTCGTTTTCAGGTTTTGAGGTATGTCTGACGAGAAGATGTGTCGTAGCTTCCCGAACGCTGCCCAGCCGAGTTGAATCCGTCGACTGACCTCTCGGTCGAAGTTGGACTTACCTAGTCGGACTATTTGTCCCAGGTAAACATACTCGTCAACAACTTCGATCTTAGTGCTCCCAACAACTACCGGCATAGGTGTGACATGGACATTGAACATGATCTTTGTTTTGTCCATGTTCATCTTAAGACCTATCCGTTGGGAAACAATATCGAGGTCATTGAGCATAGTGCTTAGGTCCTCCAGCGATTCTGCCATAAGGACTATATCGTCGGCAAATCGAAGGTGAGTGATGTACTCGCCATTGATGTTGATACCGTATCCTTTCCAGTCCAGAAGCTTGAAAACGTCTTCCAATGCAGCGGTGAAGAGTTTCGGGGATATGACGTCACCCTGTCTTACACCTCTCTGCAATTGGATAGGTTTCGTACTCTGGTTCTGTACTCGGATAGCCATCGTAGCCCTACTGTACAAGCACTTCAACACTTCGATATACCGACAGTCAACTTGGCACCGCTGAAGGGACTGCAGCACCGCCCAAATTTCGACGGAATCAAAGGCTTTCTCATAGTCCACATACGCCAGACATAATGGCAAATTGTACTCTTCGGACTTCTGTACAATTTGCCGAAGGGTATGTATGTAGTCTGTGGTGCTAAAGCCCTTTCGGAAACCGGCTTGTTCGGGAGGCTGGAAGTCGTCAAGTCTGCGCGCGAGACGATTCGTAATGACTCTCGAAAACAGCACGTAGACGCGGCTCAGAAGGGAAATCGGTCTGTAGTTCTTCAAGAGAGCGAAATACGAATATAAATAATAAAAAAGTTAGGTAGCAAAGAACCTTTCACTGCAGCGCTTCGTTTTAAAATGCCAAACTCTCCTTGAGGTGTACGCCGCACGCGGTGGGTGACCTTTGATGTCGGCGCGGTGCCTTTGACAAAATGCAGGACGTGCCAAGGTGGCGCGACACCGGCGACCGCATCTAAGCGAACAGACTATACTTAGGAATATAGTGGCGAGTGTATGCGCAAGCACACGTGCAATCTCTATTCCCTCGCTCATAGTTCGATGGGACAGCAAACCGACACGACCGGAGATAGATCAGGCGTTGGCAGGACCAACGGCTTTATGTGCTTTCTGAGGCACGGGGGTGAGACTCTGCCATATTCCGGACTCCGAGCTACTGAGAATTTCTTGACAGAAAAAACACAACAACCGATTTTGGCGCGACCCGGGGTTCGAATCTGGGATATCATGATTAGAAATCACGTTTACGACCATTAGACCAACAAGCCAGACATAATTACTGTGGCTTAAAGAATATTTTGGAAATACATCATGCTTTATTTTGAAGAGACTGGAAATCTAAATATTTAATCCATAGTTTCCATAACCCTTGGTGGCAAACTAAGTAAGCCTATCGTCCCACTTTCGTCTAATTGGTGCCATAAAAGGCGGCTATGCCAAGAAGTATCTCAGCGATTATAGCAAATTATTCATATAATAGGGTATTACACCCATTTCCAAAAAGTATTATAAATGAATCCTAGAGTGATAATGAACCACTGTAATTTTTATATAATTTTTTTAAAACCGAATAGTGACATAAAAATTAATCTATCGTTTTAAATTTTCGCATGAAAACGCTAGCCGCCATACTGTTCAACTCGTGACGTCACAGTCGTAGAATTTTGACAATTTTGCAAAGGAATAAGATACTTTTGAATGCTTAATAATGATTTTGAATTGTTGTGTTGTGCCTGATTGCAAAAATACGAGCATAAGAACGCCGGGGAAGTTATGGATTAAAGTGCCAACTGATTTAAATATGAGAAATACTTGGTTAAAACTGGCAAAAAGAGGCCCGAAGTCATTGGCTACAAAATCTATACTATACTTCTGTGAAGATAACTTTGATGTAAGTATGACTTATATTTAACTAACGATTAAACACAACAATACATGACATGATAGCACAGATGCAAATTAAATTTTGTAATAGATTAGGTTAATCACTTGTCTGTCCCGCCCTTTGTGAGTTGTGTATCGCTAGCAACGCAAAGTCGGGAATTCGCATTTGGAAAAATCCAAAATTAGGGGCTTTTTAGGTGCTAATTAGGTGCCAATTTTAAAAATTGTGCTGAGCGATTATTTAGCACTTAATTCCTTGATATTAATATTTATCGTATATTTAATAACTTCACTGCGTTGCTAGCAACGAGCGAGACGTTTTGCTAGCAACGCAAATTTCAACAGTTCGTTGCGGTGAAAATTTTAGAGCACCTAATTTTTAAACTTGGCACCTAATTAGCACATAAAAAGCCCATAATTTTGGATTTTTCCAAATGTAAATTCCCGACTTTACGTTGCTAGCGATACACAACTGAGTGTACAAGCTTGATTGTGAATGATGTGGTCTCTCATATATAGGGATTTGATAAACCACAAATTCTCACGAAAGAACATGGATTCCTGCCAAGGATGATACGTGAGGCTATTGAAATTAAAAAAACATCCTAATTTCCAAAGAGGGGGCTGGGCTGGGTACTACCCCCTGCTTGGGATCCTGTAATTAATAAAATTAAAACTAAATCCACGCATACCACTGCAAGACTTCAAGACACAGTAAGTTCATTCTGCGTAGATTGGACCAAAATTAATAATTAAAAAAAGCTGAAGGTACTCTGGGTTAACCCTGACATCAGGACGTCAATCACCTCAGTCCCCCATGACCATGGGTGCTGTAAAGCGCCGGAAACATCGAGAATTAATAAAAACAAGTTAATTAAATGCGATAGAATCCGTAAAAGTAGTTTTATTCAATGTGTAGTGTTCGCGTAAATATAAGAAATCATTATCGAATTATGGTTAGAAATGGTGAATATAATCATATTCTAAATTGTCGGGAATTATTCCAGCAATTTATTGTTGACATGTATTCAAAAATTGATACGGAAAGGTTGGAATTGATTCGTCATAATCAACAAAAATTGCGTTCGGCAGATTATGTTCTTTTAAACGCCGACGCAATGATGAATGATGGAAAAGCTCCGGTGCAAACTCTGGAGCACACGTCATCAGCACAATTGAAGCATTCCATCAGGCCCACTCCACTTATAAATATCCAGGAAGAGTAGTGCTTTACACACTGAGCACTGTGTGAACTGAACATCCTGCTCGGAGCATTCACACTGCGGGATGGTAGGCGGTAGATTCCTTCTGCAGAGTTTTACTTCTTTTTGACTACCCTAGTGTTTGCATTCCGGGATGCCAATGTGTCGGGCCAGGCCTTGTAACACTCTTGATTTTACCGCGACGCAATTTTGCAGGAGCAAGACTAAACCAAGGCTGGAAACCGCCTACAAATGACGGGATGAAATTTTCCACCCCCTGAAGTACAAATCGGTCACAGACTTAGCAACGATGTTGGGATCATGCAACGAGAAGCAAATCCGCCACCATAAAATGCAAAAAAAGCCCCCATACCATCCCAATTTGTCTATCTATACGAGGGCGGCACTGAAAATTTCGGGAATCAAGGAAGTGACACAACATTACTATTTAAAAATGTATTTATTGCTTTTCGAAGTATTCTCCGCGAAATTTGACACATTTTTCCATACGATGGAACCAATCATTGAAGCAACCATTCCATTCGGAAGTTGGGGTCTCCAAAATGGCCGTTTTGTAGGCGTCCACAGCTTCTTCAGGTGATGAAAATCTCTGTCCACGCAATTTATTCTTTATTTTA